ATATTGGTGTAGCTACTATCGTAATTCCAACTGGAATAATGCATATTTTCAAGAAGACATCTCCGAGGAAAATTTTGCTTTCCTCCGACTAAATAGACGCAATACGAAAAGCGCCCTAAACAAGCTGGGTTCAGACCGGGGCCCGATTGTGCTGACCAGATATTTACATTAAGAAAGATGTTGGAAGACATTTCTTCAAATATCAATCCATCCTCATATGTCACGGCTGCCTTCGATTCAATTGATAAAACGGCGCTTCGGGAAGGCCATTCGACATTTGATAAAGGTATTTTATCAATATACGTCTGAATTTGAAGAACTGACACACTCCTTCGAAATAGGAAATGGGGTTCGTCAGGGCTGCGTCCTTTCTCCTACAATATTCAACTATGCGATAGACTTGATGATTGGCATCGCTTGTCGGCTCTCAAGAGGTGTGCGAATCAGTCCAGAGCACCGCATCACAGATCTTGAATACGCTGATGATAGTCCTTTTTGTCCTTTTTGCTGGCAGTTATGCCGAAATGCAGGTAATGTGTCAACAGCTGCAGCAAGAGTTGGACTCAGGGTCAGTGCGAATAAAGCGAAAATATTTTCGTCTTATACAAGAAGTTGTTAAAATAACTGTTTAGAAGAAGAAGAAGAATGCATATCTTAGATTCGAACTAATCGATGCATTTATTAAATATTTTCAGAAAATGACGTTAAATATTATTTATAATTGTAATGCAATGGAATTCCAAGAAATGTTGCAAAAATTCTCGACTGTTGTAAAGAAATGACTGCAAACAAAACTGACATTTTTATTTACGTAGGGCTTTGGGTTTGCGACTTTATTTTTTCATTTAGGTCATCTCGTCACATTCCGCCGTTTAAAAACTGTTTTCTATCTTTTGTTTTATAAGTCTGAGACGCGAACCAACGAAAATTGGCATAATTAGCGTTTTAGGCGCTGAATTACTGCAAAAATGGAGCTCTGCCACTTCAGTGAGGCAAATCCAGCCATCTGTGGACATATTTTTGAACATCTACTTGCAGAATGAATTACCCACTCTCATCCATAGGTAGAATTTGTGCCGTTGTAAAGCTTATCAAATCAGCGGAGCATCAGAACGCTAGAAATGAACGATCGCTCAGCGGGTAGCTTAAGATGATGTAATTCAGGCTCGGTTAGAGTGAAGAAATGATTGTGGTTTTCTTTTGAAGTTTAGCGCTCCTTTAGTTAATCGCCTCCAATTTAATGGTACCACGGATTTCAGAAGGTCTATGCTGTTTTTTCATTTTATGGTCGCAACTACCGCGTTTTTGCAATTTATGGGGATTTCTCTGATTAAAAATGCGTAGCCTTCACTATATTTCTAGCGCTCACTGAACTCGCAAAATTAGAGCCCAAATGTTGACCATATTATTGTAATAATTATAGTAAATCTATGTGTCGGTGGGTTACGAACTTTAGACGTGCTGAACTGTACCGAGCGTTGTCATCAATGCTTATAAGTTTTAAATGTACGAATTTGCCAGTTCGTTTCGTTAACGCCACTCTTTCTCGAATTGCCGATTGCTTTATAGGAATTTCATCTTTTCTGGTTTTTTTTCTGATGGTTGTTTTGCGCTTTTGTATTTCGCCCGCATGGGCGTGTTTTATTGATTTATTTTAAATAAAATATCTGGCTATTCTCCTTCTTTATATATTTGCAAATTACTCCGAATGTAATCCATAAAAAGAAATTAATATGACTAATTTTTATAATTATATTTTTCTCTCTTTCGTCTATCAGCATTTCTCATTTTTGGCTTAGTTGGTGTTTTTGGTTGCTTCGCATTTCCTTGAGCTCGGTTGCGACTGGACGTTTGAAAGATAAGTGACCAGCAGTCAGCCGAATTTCCATTTCGATTTCATGTTTAATTGAACGATTTGAACGTGTTTTTTTCAGCATTCAGCTTCGGATTTAATGTTAAATTTAAATGTAAAATTAAATTCTTTCTTTGAATGTCGAATTAAATAATAAGTGCATAATTTATATGAATTAGTAAATTAGTAGATCTTTTTTCTTTTTTTGATAGCACCCGATGTTACTGATTAGGCTGACTCTGCTGGCCGAATGGTGTAAGAATAAGGCCGCGTTTCCAAGCCGCTCGGTTCGATGCGCTATCTGAAAATGCCATCTAAACTATTGGGCCACCTTTTTGTCTTGTTTCTCCTTTGTCTTCCTGAGTGCATCAGTCCTAATTGGTCCTCCTTGCTTTTGATGCCATTCATTGCAGAGCTTAACAAGTAGCGAGATATTTATTTCGTGCGATGAAGCGTGGCTTAACCAGCGACGGTCTGCGACGACAACATTAAATTAATGCTGATGGTATTTGAAGGATGGAATAGTAGATTGTAATAAAATCATAGTAATACTAGTAACTGTTAATAGTAGTGAGAGTGATAAATAGTATTCCTCGCAGTAGTAAATCTGTCCAGTAATCCGGCTGATGATGGCGATTCCCTAGCATATTCGCCTAGCTCGACAAGTCGGGAGAGCGAGTTAAACTAATAATGGTGAGGAAAAAAAATGATATTGAAAAAAGTAATATTAGAAACAATACTTCTGTGCTACCAAGTGCTTCTCTGAAAATTAATCCTATCCGACGAGCGAAACGAGCCTAACCACAAATGGTGAGTGCTTTTCCAAAAGAAGGAATAGTGACGTAGTCATATATTACTTCATCTGTCATGCATTCGATTTCTCTCCTTTTGATCTCCTTTGAAGTTGTCGCATTACGGCGAATGCATTTACTGCTTTTTCGCCAGCTTTCATCTTATGCTTCTGCGATGCGAATTTTTTTGAATTGTCGATTTGAGTTGAATTATTGTTATTTTATAGTTCTCCATTTAGTGACACTGTCGCCAAATGCGTCCGTCGTATTCAAACTTAAAAATTGAAAATAAAAATTGTAGTAATAATAGTAACAACAGTAATAAGAAGAAAATGACAGTAATAACAATAAATAATAAAACAATAATATTTGTAATAATAAATAATGAGTAATAAATTCAAGATTATAAAATTTTTCCAGCCAACAAGTAAATTATCGATATTTCTGATTTGACTAATCAATTTTTTACGGCCGGAGTGCGTAGTGGTTTAGTATTGTCGAATTGGTTGATAAGCATTCTTCTTATCAGTTCCTCATGGTCTTATCAGATTCTAACCTCATCGTGTGATTTTTTTTGGTTGAACATTTAAACTATTGTTTTTATTTTGTGTTTTTTCTATTTTTATACCTTTCATAATATTTTTGCGGACGTTCAGACAGAAAACTTGAATTTCTTCTTTTCTTTGTGAATTTCATATTTTTTAATTAATTAAGAAATTTGAAATCATCCTTCGATTCTTGTTTTTCTTTTTTTCTTTTTGAAATCCATTTTTTTGAATGGATTTGGTAAATTTTTACCAAAATCTGTAATATAACCTTCATATTAGACCTTCTAACAATCGATAAACCATTTGACCTTTCATCTTTTCATGTTTTATCTTATCGTTATTGCCTTACCTTATCATATTCTAATGAAATTTTTTTTCAATTTTATCTTTTTTGAATTCCGCAAAAAAATTTTATTGCGTAAGTGAATTGCAAAAAAAAGATTTTCAGTTGAAATAAAAAATAAAAATTATATAGAATGAATGGATGGAAACCCGTATATTTATTCAATACTTATGATAAGTTTTAATGATATTTCTTCGACTATAGTCATGCGGTGTTGATTCTTGTCTTTTAACAAGAGTAAACCTGAATTCGCTTGGCGTGGTTTCCATTAGTTACTCGGGCGAAAGTCTCCTGTGGAACCAGTCAGGCCGGAAATATTGCATGGTGGTCAAGAATTAATAGTGTTGGAATAATTTAATTATGATATCTTTTAGTAAGTGGTATAAACGCTTAGGGTTGCTTCACTTGTTATTAGTGGGATGAGATTTGATGAGGAGTCAATTAAGAATAGACAGGTAAGTCGAGAGCATCATCCGGATTTATTCCTACCATTTCAATGATCGAATCGTTACGGTATATTATTAAATAATTTGAGCATTCGTTAAACTAAGTTGTATTTAATGGGTCATAATTGGTTGTTGGAGTGTTTTCAAATTTCGATTTATAAAAAATTCGACTAGTTTTTCGAATTATTTAAAATATATTTTATGTTGATGTATCAGCTTGTGACACTCCTAGTTTGCAAATTTTTTGATATCAGGAGCGAAATTATTTTTTAGAATCTTTGCTGTGCATTATCGGTTGTTTATTTTGTATGATTTTGTTCGAAGTAACTCAGTCGTTATCAGTTCTCATTTGTTCTTATTTATTGATGACCAAAGGTAAAATTGGCTAAGCGCCTTTTCTGAATTTCTTATCATTGTCAGTTAATATTTAACATTTTTGCTAGTGATTTATTAAATTTTGTAGTAAAAAAAACAAATTATTGTTTTATCAGCTGTTGATTTAAATTTCATAGTAAAACGGTTATTGTTTTTTGCGGTATTTTATTAAATTTTGTCAATATTAATTTTAACATTAATATTAATAGTAATAATTTATTAATATTACCAATGTTTTCAAGCAGTTGTTTTTTTATTAAAATTTGTAAAAGTTAAAGTTAGTATTATAGATTTTATTGAATTTCTTTAGAAATTTTTGGGATTTCAATGAATTCACTTTTCTTTTAATTTATTTATGTTTTTCAGTTATTTCTGTGCGATCGTATTGTATCTAGCTAACAATTTCAACTGTTATAACTCTTCTTTTTACCTTTACGATATGTGAGTGCTATGAAGTTGATTGCTCTTGATATTGTAAAAAAAAGCGATGAAAATTTTAATATTTCCAATTAAAGGCGAAAAAAAAATTTGCAGGAGGTTCACCGAATTGAATGCCTTGAAATGTTTATGGACTAGAAAGAATTCTCATTGAATGCAAGTGGTGAAAAAAGAAATTGAAAAAAAATTTTTCAAACGAATAAATAAATGGCTTTTCTCAAAAAGAAAGGATTCAAATTTAACGTCGATCTAGAATTATTGAAATTGAGCGATATGCCTCTCGTTAATGCCGTCCTTTTTGCAAAGGTTTTTTTAAAATTTCTTCGTTCAAAATAATCCTTAAAGTAAACAAAGAAAGTAAAAAATTTCGCATACCACAAGTCTTTGTGTATACTTTATTGAAATTTACGTCTGAATTTCTTTTGAAATTAGTGAAACGTTTACTTCTTGTTTCATTTTCTTTTGAAAATTTGTTTAAAATTTAAATTTATTTTCCGAAACGAAAAAGAAGGTTGAAAATTTCGTATTCAAATGGTTTTTTAAAATAGTTCAGAAATAAATCAACGAATTTTTTTTCTTCCGAATTTTAACCGTTATTAACTTCCATTTCAGCATCGTTTTTTTCTTTCGCCTAATTTTCGATGTTTTTTTATGTATGAAAAATTATTTTGAATTCTGGAAATGAAAAAATTATTCAGTGGAAACATAAAATATTAAAGTAGATAAAAAACAAAAAAAAGTGAAGTAAAAAAAATAGAATTATTGCTTTTTACACAATTTTTATACTTTTTATAGGTGAGACTATTGGAAGGTGGCACTTTTGAAGGTGTAACTGAACGTGTTTTTTTATTTAACCATGCGGCATGTTGGAATGCTCGGTTTAATTTTTCGTGCCGTATACCACCGGACCCTGTCACTGGTGTTTTGGAGAGATGTGCATGTAGAGTATCGTTGAGAAGGGTTTGTAATTTTTCCAATATTGGCTATAAAAAAATCATAAGAAAAAAGTAATAAGAAAAATTTAAATTATAGGAGCAAAAAGGTGGTAAATCATATCAAAAACTCGGTTTTGTTGATATAAATTTATCACAGTTTGCTGCATCTGGTGTCGAAGGAATTACGCAGTCCTTCCTTCTTGACGGTTATGGAGTTAATCAGAGACAAGATAATTCTCGCATAGTTGTCAAAATTATAATGAGCCATCAGAGTGCTGATCCGATTTTTAAAGTGTAATTTTTTAATTTTTTTATTCTGTTCATTTTAGATCAAATACATCCATATTTCAAAATATTAATTATTAATTATATATTTTGATTAATTATATATTATATATTCTGATACTTTTAATTGCTTTCAGTCCTCGTAAAGAGTCATCGATGGAAGAGGAATTTTTGAATCCTGTTGAACGAAGAGCACCGCCTAGTGGAAATTCGAATGGTTATCCAAATCCATCATGCGTGGATACAATTTCATCTCGTTCATCATCAGTTGATGAATTATATCATGACTGTGGTATATTTTGTTGATATTTTTTGAAAATATTAAAAATATCATTATCGTGCATGCATTTCAGATTAGGTTTTCTCCATCAACTTTTGTAATTCATGATTTTCAGATGATTTTTCGGTTGAATCGCTATATTCACCACTGATAACTTCGTTAGATCCATCAGACAAAAATAAGCTAGGCAGAATGTCGATATCTGTTCCTAATGTACAATCCTTTGATGTCATACGTCGCACCACAATTAATAATTCAGCTATACCACAGAATAGAAGATTTAGTCAAGACAGGTGAAAGTTTTTTTCATCCTTTGAGCTCCATCTTTTCAAATTTTTCTACGTTCTATGTCATTTAGAATGAGGCTTTGCTTTCAATTGATTTTTTTCTTTTTTTGTTTCTGATTGCTGATTTCTTAAAGCAGTTCGCTTTAAAATTTTAGATCACAGATAAAATGTTGCGAAAGTGGAATTACACGAATACATGCGACAAGAGTCGATGCTGAAGATGTTATTGACCAAATGCTTGCTGAAACGGTTATGCCAAGTATAAAAAACCATGAAGATTATTCAGATCAGGGTAACATTTTTATCTCTTTGGTTCCTAATGGTTTTAGATTTGTTGAAACTATAAATGATTCATGGTCTGTGGTTTTAGGATTAGCGCTATTTGTTTCTAAAGATGGCGAAGCAGTGATTGGTGGAAACACTCTTCGTTCAAGTGGTTCTTTTGAACGAGTACATATTGCTGATGCTGGCGTTACTTAATTGAGCTGCTAAAGTCAGATCCAGATGATGTTTTTGAAATGGCAATTGTGAATTGTGATACGGGTTAATTTCGTTGCGTTGTTATTTATGGCTATTATTTTACGTTTGCTCGGTCTTTTTGTGAACGGGACTAATTTTTAAATATTTCCCGGCTTTTTTCCAACTTGTACCAATTTTTTTTCATTTTTTAAAGGGATTTTTAGTTCTTAAATATTATTTTAGTTTTCTTGAAGTAAATTCCTGAAATTGCTTTATGGAGATGTTTTTATGTGCAATTTATGAAATAGGTATTTTCTTTATTACTGGACTTTATCTATGCTTAACAATGTTTGCTGGACTTGTTTTGTTAAGCGATAATAATTTTTAAGAATTTCTATCGAAATTTTTCTATTGATTTACAGTTTTATGTATCAAAATTTAGGTAATTTTATTTGATCATCTATAAGTGCCATTATGAACGAATCAGTCTTTGTGCAGCTTATTTCAAATATATATTATATATATTATTCTTTTTTATGTATATCATTCCTTTTACCTATGTCGGAAACGAAATGCACAGAAATAAGTTTTCTGCGATGCTCAGTTTTTGCAAATCACTTTTTTGAAGAAAGTCGTCTGAATTTTTTAAATTCTTAAATTTTTAATTTTCGGAAATCCAAATTTTCTTTCACCATTTTCTCATTTTCTAATATTTTCTTGTTTTGTATTTTATAAATTTTTTACAATTTTTTTAAAATAATTTTTTCTGGCACTTTTGGTCTTTCGTGTTAGACTGTAGTTCATTTCTAGAATTTATCAATTTATCATTGATCAGTATTTCGGCTTTATAGTAATTTGCGTTGTTATTTTATTATAACATTGTTTCGTTAGTGGTTTGTTTAGTTTTTTCATATTTTAAATTTTTTTAAATCTCTGTGTCATAAAATTTGAACTGAATACTTCAAATTAGATTGGAAATGAGTAGAGTCGCTGCAAATACGGTGGTTTTAAAATTTGGGTATTAGATTTTTATATATATGGTTTTTTTCGAAAATTTGAGAAATGATTTCCTTAATCAGTTTTCTTCAATAAATCTAAAATCGTGGAGAAAATTTGATGTTCTAAACGGAGGAAGAAAGTTTAATGAAAATATACGATCTGATCTTCCATAAGAATACTATGTACTGGAGTTTCTGTGGAGTTTAGTGGAATATTTCTTTTGTATTTCTAGCAATTTTGGGCGAATATTACTGGAACAAATCCTTTTTTTATGGTAATGGAGGTTGAGGCGTTCCATCAATTTCAGATTATCTCGTCCATGCAGTGTGTATTCCAGTAGCCCATTTATCGTCGGATGGTGCTGTTTCCTCAGCATCAGACGCGGACGTTGTTTCATGAACGAATGTATTTGATTTATATCTTCGATAAGAATGAAATATTGTTAATTTGAATATCTACGGAACTGAATAAAATGAATAATTATATAAGGAAATAATTTTAGATGATGGAATAATTGTAAATTATTTTTGAGAAAATTATAAATTTTCCTGGCAGATGTAGCGAGAAAGACTTTAAAAATTGGCAGGGATTTTAAAAACATTAAAACTAAGAATAATTTATAAAAAATGCGCAGTCTCTCTGAGTCTTCCCCTATTTTTAATTTATAAAGATTATGAAGTCTGGCCTTAATCCCAAAATTTGGAAATTGTCCCATATAGTTCCCATTCATAAAAAATGAAGCACCTATGACGATTCTAATTACAGACCTATTAGCTTAACTTGTGTTGGTAGCAAGGTATTGAAAGGTTAATTTGCAACAAATTGCTGACTTATCTTGATGCCAATAATTTTATGTCTTCTTATTAGCACGGCTTTTGTACAAAAAAATCTACTTCAGAAATATTGGCAAATCTGTCTGATTGGTCAGCATCAATTGACAATGGAAAAATAGTGTCAGTTGTGTACCTAGATTTGGCTAAGGCTTTTGATACTGTTTCCCATAGCAAATTATTGGTCACTCTTAATAGTTGTGGCATAACAGAGGACCTCTATAACTGGGTGTCAGATTACATAAAAGATCGTTACCAGACTGTATATGTTAACAACACTCTTTCTGACATGACACCTGCTAAATAGGCGTATGCCAAGGCAGTTGTATTGCGCCATTGCTATTTCTATTATGATATTATATAAATGATCACCACAGTGGTAATAAATTCTACTATTTATCTTTATGCTGATGATTGTAAAATTTATTATTCTCATGGTAGAGCTATGTCCACTGCAGGAAGATCTCAGCAGAATAGCCAATTGGCTATATGACAGGCAAATTACCCTTTCTTTTCAAAAATGTAGCGTTCTTCACATCAACTCTAAAGGATTCGATCTTCCTAATCTTTTTATAAATGGTAATTTAATCAATAGACACTCGATTTCGATCTTCACTGCAGAACCATAGTAAAGAAATCCTCAAGGATACTAAATTTTGTTTTTCGTTCGTTTAAGAACAAAACTGAAAGTTTTCTTATCAAATTATATAAAGCATTTGTTCGGCCTCTTCTTGACTACAATACTACATGTTACTCCTCGAGACATCGCAAAACAAGTAAAATAATTGAAGGATTCCAAAAATATTTTATACGGCCCCTCTCTCCTAATTGCAATTTTAATTATAAAAGAAAATTTCTACAACCTGGATTTACCTGGATTTTCTCTTACTTCGCTATGTTATGTATTAAACAAGAATTAATTTATACTTATGAGATTTTGTATGGTTATGTTAAATTAGATTGTTCAAAATATTATTTTAGGTTAAATTTAAATCCAACAAGAACTAATAGGCTAAAATTACTAAAACCTATGTGTAAAACAAAACTAACGACTCATGATTTCTTTATTCGTACTATTAACTACTGGAACAAATTACCGAACGATGTAGCTTGTGCGTCATCCTTGTCTTTAAAAAAAGACTAGATAATATCATTTACGATATTATTTTAAAAAAAAAAAAGAAGAGTTTACACCAGTCAAGAACTGTAGGAAGTGAGAGATCTCGATTTTATCTTCAGGTTATATATGTTACTTCGAATTGCACTATATTATATTGATATTTATAATTTCCTCTTTAAATTGTTAATTGTTATATTGTTTTATAATTAATTTTGTTTGTGTTATTTTTTTTTATTTTTGTTTTATTTTTCTGTTATCTTAACTGTTATTATTAAGCACATGGCGTTGTCGCCCTGCTTGGCTGATTATCAATAAATAAATAAAAGACCCTTTATAAAGTCTCTCGTTGATGGAAGAATAATCGCATCGTCAGTAGCATCCTGGATTTCATTGGATTTTGCTTTCAGTGGTAGATGCACTTGCATCAAGGGACAGAAACAAACTGAAGGTGGTTGACTTCAGTTAAGCGAACATATCGCTCGACCATTCTGTCTTTTCGAAGCACGTTTTTCTTTGAAATTGTTGAATGATTGTTCCAGATATTTGCCACAGTTAGTGTGTTAAGTGAAAGAAATGTAATATGAAATTCGGGGGGGGGGGGGGTGTGAGGCAGAACGGGCAATGGACCATAGGCACCTGACGCTTTAAATCATCGGATGCCATCAGGTGGTGAGTGCTATCAGAAGATAAGGAACATGCAAAACTCGAAAGGAAGTAAAGAAGAAAATTTTAAAATTTGTTGCTGTCTCAACTATTTTCTTTTAAGTTCGTTTATTTTTTTTCTATGAAAGAGATTCGTTGTCATAGAGCTTGTTTTGGCATTAAAATGGTGGTCTTGACGACTTCACTCTTGGCGACACTATAGCAAATATTTTTTACTTATATGGCACACTACAAATCGTTGGCTCCAATTCTAGGTAAATTTAGAAAATTTTCTGGATAAATTCACCTATCTCCTTTCTTTGTTTGTTCGTCCACTGATTCCAGTTGAAGTCCAATTGAGATTGGTGCTAAACTACAAATTTATCTCTCCTCTCTGTTATTATTTGTTGGTGCCTCAGTCGTCATTAAATGCGATTAAAATCTCCTGTGAGCTATCATAATAATGAATGTTTTATGGCTGAGATTAGTGCCACTTTTAAATTAAGGTAATTATAAGATTATTTATCATTTTTTGCTTTTTCTAATGGTTTGATTGGTTCCACTGGCGATTATGAGGAGTTTTCAGCCCTCTTAATTTTCTATGATCAGATCTCCACTATTCATCATGAATTTTCATTTAAAAAATTAAGTACTGATTTATCAGAAAAGAAAAATTTGTTATTTTAGGTTACACAGGGCATATTCCGGGCGAAAGATGGCGAATTGGGCGAACGGCAGTCGGCGGATGTATTCAATCGCCCGCGGCGTTTTCGTAAGCATTAAATTTATTCCTTTATTCCTATTTCTTATCATCAGATTATTGAGCAATTTTATTGCTAAAAATTTCTTCAATTTTATGTTAGGTCACAAAAAAAGACAGAAATATATGAAAGAACACAAATGGAAAATTATAATGCGCTGGAAGAAAGCAGTGAAGAGAATAATCAACGTTTGAATGAAGTAACATTCGTTAATGTGAAAATTTATTTGATTTTGCTATTTCACATTTTGCAGTCGTCGCAAATTTTTAGACAATCTTCCAGCAATCTTTTAGGTTACATAACAACGGAACAAGGGAGAAGAAATGGGGAGGGGGGATTGCGATGAGAAAATTACAATCAACATTTATTGAAGTCAAATTTTGTTTGTGAAGAATCAATGCATTTAACCTAGGTGAAATTATTGAAATAATAAAAAAAATAAAAAATTTAGCAAAAATCATATAGTATGTTATTTGCTACCTGAATTTCTGCAGCTCAAACGATATGAAGACGATGCAGAAGTTTAGGTTTGATTTCTGTCCTTCTACTTCTGCCATTTAAACCTGCCATTAGAAATGCAATAGGGGTAATATGATAAGATTCATCTATTTATAAGGGATTATCTGGTGAAAACTCATTCTACTAGCCAGTGGAACCAACCCCGCCAGCCATATAAATATTATGTAGTAATTAATTAAAGAAATACCATATTTTATAGAAAGCTATGCAATATTCTTGAATTATATGGTACCTCAAATAGATTCTGCATTTTTCGTGCTATTTTCTTAAAGCTGTGAATTATTTAATCTTTATCGAAACGAAGTAGTTCTGATTTTCAGTACGATCAAAATCTTGGCTCTACAATACAGGTTCCACCTGAAGAGGCAGTAAATGCTATCACATTGGATCAAGTTGACAATGCGATGGGCGATTTGCAGCTCAATTCGAAATTTGATCGTAATCTTGAATCAAAAAATAGATTACTAGCCATAACTCCCGTCAACGTAGTTCCATCATCGATTCAAGTTGATGCACCTCTTCACCAAATTATTTCGAGACACAGTGGCCGTTTAACGAATATTTTTTTCCGGAAAAATTCTTTTTCTAGCCTTCAATTATTTTTCAGCCGATTACTATGTGCATTTCTCATAAATGTTAAAAGATAGATTTTATAAATTAGCCTAATTGGACGCAATGCCATACGAGGTGGCTGTAGCCTAATGGGATATGTGCCATACAATTACATGTAAATTAGCATGTGGGCCATGATCTCACATAAGTTAGCTTTAATTCAATAGAACGTGATGTTGTATTTGTGACTGTAAACAAAATTAAGCTACATGAAAAAAAAAACCAGTTATAAAATTGTTACTATACAAAAATAGAGAAAAGTGACCAATCGTGACTTCAGCGCTCGTATAAATCACTAAAAGTTTTATTAATTTTAAGATAAATTGGTAAAATTTGACCTGTTTTTAGCCAATATTTTAAGGTCGAACAAAAAAAGATGCCGCCTGTGAACCTTTCGAAGGACTCGAACTTGGATGGTGGTCAGAAGGAGAAGTACCACGAAATAGTCGACGGCAAGAAGAAGCTAAAAGAAGTGGTGATCTTTCGAATAATCAATTTTCCGGCCGTCCACCTCACATGAAAGTTATTCACTTTTTTTAAGAAAAATTAACTAATTGGTTTTTTGGACTTTTAGATTTCCTTATAGCCAAGGATACATATTATATACATCCAAATTTGCAATTCCAAGAGCTCGGAAGATTTCCAAAAGTTTTATTCGACGATCACTCATAGAAACAAATGCTTTTATTTAAGTGCTAAATTATTAAAGCTAAATTATTAAAATTATTAAGGCTTATTAAAGTCGATAAAGCTCTTTTGTCACCTAACGCTTGCGACTGTATTTAAGGATCTCAATCGATTGCCCATTTTTGGATACAGTGGACACACGCCAGGTTAATTTCCTCTCAAAACTCCTAGTAGCACTTAAACTGCAAAAGCAACAACTTCATTGAGTATTTTTAATATTTCTTATGATGTAAAGAAAACGAAGTAACGAGAAATCTCGTTCTAAAGCTTATTTTCCAAATCAGCCAAAATATTAATGAAATTTCTCGATCACATCGATATAGCGTTTATCTGTTTAAAGTCTTTTAAAAGGAATATCCATCATAATTTCTGCTAATTTTCGGATAATTCATTCAATTTCGTTATTTGTTTAACTTTTTATATTAATTGAAAAGGAATTAAATATTTTGGAAATATTTTGAAGGCTTAGCAAATTTTGGTACTGGAAAACCATATGAAGCTGCCGTAAGAGCATGTTGGGAAAAATATAACGAGAATCGTCGAGATAGAATTATGTCGAGTATGTTTTAAAGATTTATAAAACTGTTTAAAATAATTCAAATTCAAATTGTCAAATTCGTTAATTTGACAATTTTTGAAGTGCCAAATGAAAACACAGGCCAAACCAAGCCAAGCAATAGACAGGGATGCAATAAAGGAAAGTTTTATACACAAAATAGTTTTGCAGAAAAAGGCGCTCCATCTCGAAGATCGAACTCCTCAAATTCAGACCCAAAAAATGGTAAATGTATTTCACAATCGTTTCAAAATAGGTCATCTTCCCGAACGAATTCACGAAGTCGAGGAATGGTTCAATGTACCACTTGTAAGAAAAAGATCGAAGGATAAATCAAATACTCGGAAATTCAATAGTCTCATTCCTTTCCAAGTCTTTGCTCTAAACATGTATGAATTTCCATGTGGCTGATTTCCTATATTTATTTATTCCCTATAATAAACGATTTCTTTATAGTTATTGGAAAGCCATCTGTAAAAAACTGCTGAGCTCTTTGAATCAATTAAAATTTGGTTATGTTTCGTTGTAAACCTTCGCTATGTTTATATTTTCTGACCTACAAAGAACCTTGAGAATCGGTTCAGATTCGGTTTATAAACTAGATGGATTAAGAATACGCCATTTCTAATTTGGCTGGTTCTACTCTGCGGTGGAAAATTTCAATGAGCTACTTTGCCACTTGCGCCATTTGAAGATAGGTGAATATTGGTGAAGCGTCGGCAACGAAGATTTTTTGAAAATGGCTTCTTTAAAAGTCAAAACTTTCACTGATTTACTGAAAAATAAAATATTTATCGGCAAAATGACATAGCAAATAACAAATAAATTTTTATAAAAGCTTCGATCCCAATAAAATATGCGAAAATAATCAAAAATAATAATTAGTGATAATTTTAAAAGTAATTTTGTTTACTGAAACAACTTATTCCGTGATTCATTTAGCAAACATAAAAGAACCTTTTAAAATGCATTGTTTATACCAAAGTCAGCACTTAAGGGTGTTAGGATAGTTTCGAACTGGAAAAAATCACTGGGAAACTGGTTGGCAATGTTGACTCAAATTGCGTCATCGATAGCCATCGCTGACCGATTATAAAGCGAATGAGAATTCACGAAAAATATCGTAAAGTATTCTCCACGAAAAATTGACCGCGCTGAACAGACGTATCAGAAGACTGGTAAACTTTGAATTCGTTTTGTATTTAATCGTTTATTTCAATAGAAATAAAAGAATCTACCGAATAAAAGAACCTCTGCAGCAGTATTTATTATTGCATTGATACTAGACGGTGATTAGTGGAACTACCTTCTTCTCATGATTTATTTTACTGTGACAAATTTGGTGAGTTCTTTGCAAATCATTATTGAATCACTTATTTATATTGGAACTCGTCATTAATTGTTGCAATAACTGATTTTTAATGGTTCAGCGAATTTGAGAATTGATTTAGATATTGAATTGTGACCGCCAGATCTGCTATCCGCGATGTGAATTCTTAAGCTGATTAGATATTTTTTTCATATCAGAAAATCTTTTCGTAATTTTACAAGCTTATCAGCATCATGCACCATATCTTTTCTTTTAGTAGAATGCTTTATTTGGCTACCGCCGCTGATTTCTCAGATGGCGTATTTAGATGGTTTTTTTCACTATAGAGTACTTATAAAGTTAAATTTGTAGCCATTCGCATCATATTTTCGCATTCGTGCTTTCCTTAATCTAACTGAAAGAAAATTTTTATAGGTTTTACTGATAGCATTTAGAAGTACAGTTGTGATCTCGCGATGCGATTCACCAGAAATATCGAAGAAATCTGATCCTAATGACACTCAATCATATTTTATTTGTGATGCGCAAGGGTAAATTTTGTTAAACTGTTGAATCCGAGAATCCGCAAGATTATAGAAATTCTCAATTAATTCCTCACCAATGAGCTAGCACAAAAGCTTGCACTTATCATACTGAAAAATAAATAAAAAATAATAAATATAATGTAATAATAAAAATAATAACTGAAAAATAATTTTTATAGAAAGATTTTCGATTTAGGAAAATTATAAAAAAGAAATGCCCAAGTGGAATGAGTTTCAACAATTTTTCCACAGAATGTGCACCGTCACTGGAAATACCATCTAACGATGATCCATTTTTTCTTCCACATTATCAAGCTCCAGGTTTGGTTCGTTGAAGCACATCTATTATTGGTCCATATTTTTTTGTTTTGCTTTAAATATTGCTTTAAATATAGTTTTTTAGATGATATCTGCGATAACGGCATACCTCTTACTCGGTTGGGTGCTCCTGTCATTTGCAATCCACTCATTAGTAGCTGTCCGGATGGTTTGTTTTTCTTACACTGTAGTTTAATCTGTAAAAATGTTCTTTCATTGCGCAAACCATAACAGCAAATAAAAACATAAGAGAATAATTCTGCAAAATTTTGTTGCCCTCCGCATCCAACAGCAAAAGATTAATATTAAATATTAACGCATTTATCGTTGAGGATACGCATGTGCGAGGCATCGAAGAACTAATCTGGCATACTGTTGCAAGATCACTTCTGATGAACTGTCGCAAAAGAAAGAACACTTCTGCCCTAACGACCAAGTTACATACATTGAGGTAATCTAGTAAATGTGATTTGCTTTTATGTTTTATTCGGTAGCTTCTCCAGCGATTGCGTTGCGATTGAGTGAGATTCCTTCATTTTAGAACCACAGTACAAGGAATACAAGTTGTTCACCAGTAGCTACCCAGATTTCACTTTTGGCAGGCTTACTACTTTGCAAAGTGTGAGAATCGGACGCATCTTGAAGTAAAATAAAAGAAAAAAAGACGATCATTATTGGGCAAAATTTCAGCAATCTAGTGGTGTTCCGAAAAGTTGCGATATGTCACAAATTCGATCGTGTCCTATGGGATTTGTTTGTACTATGATAACCAATTCGATCACTCGATGTTGCGGCAAAAATTTAGGATGTCCCTTCAATTCAGCTGGACTGGTAGATCTTAGAACATCATCATACGTTTCTTGTTCTTTAACAAATGAAAGAACTTGCCAACCAGGATTCCAGTGCGTCATGAGTTCCATGTTTGCTATCCCCCTTTGTTGTTCAACAGTTGATGATGATCGGCTGAAATGTTAGTTCATTTAGGCATGAAATAATTCATTATATTTAAAATATTTAAAAATATTTATTTTTTTAATATTCATTGGTTAATGGTGGTAAAAATAATGGAAATCTTTTTTTTATTTGCTATCGCCTTTATAAATATTTTTTCAACGATCCTTACCCACTGGTATGTTGATTAGCACCTAAATAAGGAAATAAATAATTAACGCCTTTTTTGATTGGACTAGATCCACTGACCATTGATCAGAAATTTTTGTCACCTATCGATAGAAATATAGGCAAAAATATAAATCTGGTCGCAAACGCCACTCAGATTTTTAAAATTCACTCCTGTCTGATTCTTCCTTCTCAATATGATAGGATAGTCTAAATTACTATCACTCGGTTATCCAGACTTTCAATAGAACACCTAAGAAATCATCCCGCTAAAAAAAATGCCACATCGTATTATTTAAATAAAAAATAATTATGATACGTTTTGTATGATATGTATTAATGAATAATGGGAATATTTCAATTCATATAAAAGTACAGCTTTTGTTTTGGCTAAAAAATTTATAACTTTTTTCCAACAATGAATTTCTTAGCAGTTTGTCTTGTTGGATCGCCTAATCCTAGTAATCCAGTACACTGCATGGAAAACGACATTTGTAGAAAAGACTATCAATGCACAAGGAGCGGTAATCAACAATATTGTTGTCCAGCACCAGGTCTTTTTATATTAGCTCAAAATGAGAGATGAGACTTAATGAGAGATGAGATTTTTCTACAGTAACTTCGTTTGAAGCAAAAGCATTGCCAGTCAAATCGAACTATGAACCCATTAATTACAGATTCAAACAATGCCAGTTTACGAATTTGACTTGAGCTACGGCTTTATATATATATATATAATTTTAAATTCAGAAAATATTTGTCGTTTACCAAATGATCCAGGAATTCATTGCTCTGGCATAGCAAATTCTGCAGTTACTCGATTTTATTTTGATATGATAAGCGGAAGTTGCCGATCATTCAACTACAAACAATGTGGTGGCAATGATAATAATTTTAAAACCCTCAACCAATGTCAAGAATTTTGCCAATCACGTAAAAGCTTATTTCTTTAATTGTTCATTTTTTAGAATTCAAGGCGTATTAATTATTTCTTTGAACTTTTCAGAACAATGTCCAGCAGGGATCGCTCAACAGTTAGGGAATATAAACACGGCTTGTTCGTTGGAGCGGCCGATTGCCTGTCAAGAAGGCTATGCTTGCCGAAAACCTTTATTCGGCCCTGGCTCTATATGCTGTCCTAAGCAAGGTTTGACGTTTGACACCTTATAAATTGAAATCTCTTTATGTTTTTCTCGATATCTTCATTATGGTGTAAATTTTTAGAAAAGGTGTGCAATGAAGTGGTGACAGCAGGTACAGATTGTTTCACTAAATCCATATCAGTAAAACGCTTTTATTATAATTCGGCTTTCGATCGATGCGAATCTTTTGAATATTTTGGATGTTCTGGAAATAATAATAATTTTTTAACTAGAGAGCAATGCGAAAATTCCTGCAATCGAGGCGAGCAGAATGGTCGGTTTTCAATTATTCTGCTTTTCTGGCTTTATAATTTACTGCAAATAGCAAAAAAATTAAAATTTCGAGGAAATCCATCGCAACCTACGCCGAACCAAATCTCAATTCTCTCAATTTACCATTAAATGAGAACCAAACAACCGGATTTTTTCATTTTAAGGCATTTCTTAAGATTTAAAAAAGAAAAAAACCACAATTTTCGCAAAGCTATATAATAATAAATTGAAGCTTGCAATGGTGCAACGCCACTTATGGACCCAAGCAATCGATTACAGATATGCTCAGAGAAATTTCCTTGCCCCAGTGGTTATGCCTGTAATAATTTACAACACTGCTGTCCTACTCCAGGTTTAGTTGCTTATTAATTATACTCATCTAGCATTAATGAGCAGAAAAAATCTGGATTATAAAGCAGATTGCGCAGTATTCTAGCTTTAAAACATTAGTAAATGTTAGTAAATGTTAGTAATAATCAACTACTAATTTGAAATTCAAAAAAGCCATGGAGTATTCGCTAACATTTTTTCAGCTTATGCCTGTTCTGCTCCCATGAATATTGGGCATGCATGCACCATTTCAAAGAACAAGCCAGCATGGTATTATGATCAAGTATATAGGTCTTGCAAAAAATTTGATTACCTTGGTTAGAATTCATTTATGTTCTTGTAACCCATGAAAGAAAGGCCGTGGAATTGTTATTATTACCTTAAAATTTTATTTTTATTTATGTTTATCATGTTTATTTCTGCCAGGATGTGCTGGCACCGCAAATCGATTTACCGATCAAAATAGCTGTGAAGCAATGTGCTTGGAAAGGGCAAATCTTGGTCAGTGTCCACTAGGAATGTCACCTTTGATGTTACCGGGTCGAAACACACCAAAAGTATTCAACAGATTTTTTGTGATTTCTTAAAAACGCCAAATGTCGAATAATTATAATTATTATTACCGAATAATTATTTAGATTAAATGTTACAATAAATATAGGATAACGAAAAAACTGGCTGACCTCCAATCAGGATTACAAGATTGGCTCCATGATTCGTTACTTATATATTTATAGACCTGTACAATTGGTGCTGCAATCTGCCCAGAAAAGTTCTCATGCGTACATTCAACTAGAAATGTGAAAATATGTTGTCAAACTAAGGCGGAATGCCCCTATCAGCGAAAGCCTTATCTAATATCTGGTAAACCTTTAAGATTTTATATTTATTTTATTCTTATTTGATGATTTGATGATTATTTTCTTCGAATTTTGATTGATATATTCCATATTATCCGAAAAAATTGGACAATTTTAGGATCTGATTCTATGGTCAGTTGCAGGGTGGATGAAAATAACTGCCCGAATAATAGCGAATGCCTTGAAAGGTAAGGTTTTTAAGGAATTTTAACCGAATTTACGTAATTCTCTGGTAAACTTAAATGGGCTAATTTGGGTTAGTTCGACTCCAATCGCTTTACAAGATAAAACCTACTTTTAAAGATGAAAAATTCCGATAAATACCGGTGAAATGGTAATCTGTTGAGAGAACCGATTTCAGTTCGATTCGAGGTTTTTTCATATGTTGTTTACGCGATTCAAATGATATTTATCACCAGCAACAAATAAGGACAATGTCTGAATGCCCCGACAATATTAAATCTAATGGAAAAATTTGTACACCAAATACAATAGGTGGTTGTTCTGTTGGTTATACTTGTATAAAACAGTCGGGTCTGTCGACGGGCTTTTGTTGTGCTATCCAACCGAAGTGTTTGAGAGGAAAGACTGAATATATAGTTGCAGAACAGGTATTTTTTATAAAATTTTTCTATTACTTTTTTTTCAAAATTCATTATTTTATCCTTAACCAAGAAAGAGAGGAAAATAACCAACGGGAGAAAGTTAAATGAAGAAATAGAAGAGATGTTAAGTTACTTCTTTTTCATCAAATTTCGATTAAAAATTACTGGTCATCTAAATTCGCCTTTTTCTAACAGTATGTATCCAAGTAATGATGAGTACTCATTTATTTTGTATCCAAAAATAGCGAAATGGTTTCATCCTAAGTGGTGACAGCAAAGCCATAAATGGTGAGCGTCATTAGAAAGAAAACAATAAAATATAATTTTTGGTTTGCTTGGTTCCATTCACTGCTAAATAATATTTCGCCAGTGATATATACTCAATTTTGCTAAATATATTTATAGATTTGATTTAAAGGTTATCGTACTTTCCATATGGTATTGTTTAAAATGTCGTCAGTTGCAGGCGAAAATTTGCGGACGAGAATACGATGAATGTCCCAAAAGTACTGCCTGTTTTATATCATCGGTACCATCAATTAGTGTTTGCTGCCATCTCGCTTCTTCCCTTTCTCCACCTCGTTTCTTTTCAACTTCACCGTCATCAGTCTGTTTCAATGGAAGAACTCCATTTTATGAAATAGGTATTGTTTAATTCGTGCATGAAAAGAGAATCTTTAATGCTTAATTAAGAATTTTCTAATTTTTTAAACGGGTATCAATATGGCTGCATAAATCGTGTTATTTCGGCAGATCGTAAACGATATGGGTTCGTTTTCTTTCTAGCACGAGGTCTGTTGTTGAAAATAAAGTTCAAGTGGATGTTAAGAAATTATCAGCTAGGTGACTCTAAGTGTCCCACCGAAGAAATCTCGTAGTATAAACGGAATCAGCCACAGCAGAAACAATGGCGTTGTTTGGATGAGATTGAGTAATAATTTTATAATAATAGATCGTTCTAAATTTTTGAATTCTAAATTTTTGAAATCAAATTCAAGGTTCTCAGTGGCCAAAGCAGTGCTTATTGATGCAGCGAAACCAATGCCCATCTCAGTTTACTTGCCAACCTTCAAAAACTGGTGGCTTATTTTATTGCTGTCCAGTGTCGCCAAATGAATGCTTAAGCGGTCGACATGCTTATGTTTCTACTCAGAATGGTCTGGCTCAAGTTTGCGATACTAGTTTTAACAACTGTCCCATTGGATACAGGTTAATAAATTTACTTTTTTAAAATTGTAATTTCAGGATTTTATCATTATAAAAAATCCAGATGCAATTTTTAGTTGTCAGCCATCAGCTGATAGAACAAAATCACTTTGTTGTATGGATCAAGTAGCATTAGCGAAATGTCCAGCTGGCTCATCAGCTTATATATATGGAAACAGACCGCTAGCTTGCCCCGTCGGATCGATAAGATGTCCAAACGGCTATTCATGTACTCGATCAGACATGCAAAATGTCTATCTTTGTTGTTCCACTTCCTTATCACAAATACCTCCAACGTGCTTACAAGGAATGCCATACATTGATCCAGGTCCGTAATCATTTTTTATCTAAATATTGGAATTATTTTATGAAAAACTATTATTTTAATTATTCTATGTAATAGATTTTCCAGAAACCGTTCAGAAAGAATTCATCTCATTTTAGTAAGAAATATGCCACAAATATGTTCACAAATGAATCCATTAGCTTGTCCGCCAGGATATTATTGCTCGCAAAGTACTGTCAATGGTCAATATGTGTGCTGCATTAATCGCCAGTTAAATCCAACATACATGGGTAATTCAGTTTTGAAGATATCATCAATTTGCTTTTTCAATTCGATAAAAAATAAAGTTTTCAGGATTTTGCCCAATAGGTATGGTACCATACATAACCCGACAGTCACCGCAGCCAAATGCATGCCATATGACTTTACTACCTTGCCCAAATATGGCCCAGTTCACATGTATTTATAGCGCTGAAAAACAGGACTCATTTTGCTGTGCCCCTATAGAAACTTTCATGCAGTTCTTTTCACCAGCTTTACGACCTCAAGCACAACAAATAGGTTAGTTTTCTGAAAATTTTTTTCAAGTAAATGATAGGCTAAGGAAATGGAAAATCCCATTTAAGCAACAGATATATCTGGATGTCCATTTGGAAGTCAACCATTGATCAACTTGGCTGGTCAACTGCAGCAGTGCAACCCGAGTCAGTGTCCGGCATCTTTCACTTGTCACTTCGCAATTCCATTTAATCGTTGGCAATGCTGTTCGATAGCAACGAATATACTACATCGAAAATCACCGAAATTTCTATCTGAATGTGAATCTGGACATGCACTTATAAATGGCCGTTGCATGCAATGTAAAATTTTCAATTTTTAAAATTTACCTAATTAAACCTCTTCTATATTTGCCAATTCAAATTTCTGATAGAAAATTTGTGGTTGAAAAATGAGTTGGCCATTATCTCTAATTCTTTAATTAAATCCTAAGCTGGATGTATGGAAGTTAGTATATCGCTTTAATTGTTTAAATGGATTTAACTAATGCGATATTCACTTTTTAGTGTTTTATATCGGCCAAAAAGGTTGCCAAATAAACGAACAGTGCTCGACAAAGTTGTTAGAATCTCGATGTGAAAATAATTACTGCAAATGCCCTCGAAATAAATTAATACATCAATCGAAATGTGTTACCAATTGTCCTGATGGCTTCATTGACATCGCAGCCAGATGTCATGATTTAACTACGATAGTTTTTATGGATTCTGTAGATAACCGTGAAAACGGAACAATTGGTGGGTTTTGCAAAAGTACTGTCGTTGAAGATGAACAATGTGATGTTGCGGATTCGTTTTGCAATGAAAAATCCATCACTTGTCAATGTAAGCCGGGATTCGAGTTGAAAATGGATTTTGATAACAAAAATGACAGAGTAAGTTCATTCGTATAATTTCAGCAATAAATTTACTGATTTCACCAATCCACTGACTTCAACTACTCTCATCGCTTCCGTCCAAAAAGCGTCAGGTTTTGAATCCAACAATGGAAGGGATACTCAGCCGCTTTGAGTTACCATATCAATTATCCAAAAGAAAATCTAATTTAATTTTGATTAACTTTAAAATTCAAAAATACTCCGCAGAACTTTTAAATTTCAGGGAAAATGTATTAAATTAGAAGATAGCATATTCGCAGACGGCTATGAAAACAGTAAACAGATTACGAAAACAGAATTTTTGAATAATTCGACGAACATTGACGGTGATTTCGAATATATTATGTCATTATTATTTCAGTCCGATTAAACCGTTGTAAATATTCGCTGATTAAATAGAATGCAAATCACTGTTTTTTTATATAATCAAGTACTTTATTAATCAAATTCCAAACAGATTACATCCATTCGGATTGAAATTAACTCTATCTCCACAAAAAAAGTTATACTTAAAAGTTTCACTTAAAAAAAGGTTTTATTCTAATGTGCAGTCAAACCATCGAAGCGGGACATGATAGAAGAAAATAACCAAAAACCATTTTTTTAAGAAATATCTGAACAATTTTACTCCCTATAACCAAATCCGAGTTTTTTCGCAGTTTATTAAACAATACAAAAATTCTGAAAAAAAATAATTCAAACAAATAATCAAACAATAAAATAATCAAATATAATAATAATAATTTTAATAAATAAATGAGGGAAAATTATTAAAGAGGAAAAAATCAGGATAAATATAAATGCAAGACCAAAAATGTCAAAATAGATCGGTTAAAAATTATTTCAAACAGTTAAATTACTGAGCAAACAGGTCTGGGAAATCATAATCACTGAATATATTTTCAAGCAAACCGTACTGATCAATTGCAACTTCACCGCGAACTTCATCAAAATAATGGATCGAACGACGCGAATTTCGACGCTTTGAACGATACGTTCGATCAAGCAACGCCAGATAAGGGATATAATCAGTTGCAATATCTAAATCATAATTTGCAAATCAATAAATGGATTGAGAGTAGATTGAGAGTAACAGAGTGGGATATTGCTTCATCATTCAAAATTTTTCAAGAATCATGCATTTGATTCCTGTCTTTTGAGAAGTGCCATTAAACGTAACATAATGGGGACCCTCCGCATTTCTATCTCCAAATGAATCTCACGAAGAAATCGTATTCCTAAATAGTCGGTGAAATCTTAGCCAAACCATAAATAATCAATAGTGAGATAAAGATAGGACTGGAGTCTAAAAAAGGTAGTTAAAAATCCGATTAAAGAAGAACGCTGAATTTAATACATCTCGGAGGTAAAGCTAGAAAATGGAAATTACCAGAAAATGGAAAATATTTGATCATAGGCAAAGAATGCCTAATATTATGAAAACGAAGAAAACGTTCGTTTTTTTGCCTCAGTGATGAATGTGGTGGCCTATCGATTAGGGCAATATCAGATCTAAAAAGAGTTTCATGTAAGAAACTGGAAAAATTAATACAACCGAAAATGGATGATTCAGCAAGACTTCATTCAAAAAATGTTTATGATATTTATTAAACATGTGGACATTAACTAACAAATCAATATGATTCAGATCCAAATGCAATCTTCCAGAAAAACATGGCTGGGCTAATGATTGAATGAATCCTATGTTACTATTGGTTGGTTTCTGAAATAAATAATAGTAATAGTGAATTTAGGAACAAACGAGTTCCGCAATTATTTTACATTTTATAGTCAAATTGAAACTCAAAAACAATTGAAATATATGAAAATATGAAAAATATGAACTGCTTCTGCAAAAGCTAAATAAATAAATAAAAAGTACCAGATACTTCGATCTGTCATTATACTGGAAATAAAACTGCAGATGATTGGTAACTGCTCTAATATCACAGCGAAAATGTTTAACGATTGAAGTTAACGTATTCTTCATAAACACATCAGATTCCTCGAAACCTAATGCAGACTAAAAAAAATAAAAAATTATATAAATCAAACCTTTTGTTTTTTCTTTTGCATCAAAATTGTCTATTGAAGTTGAATTGAAACTGTCAAAATAATCAAAGATTATGAATCGATGAATAAATGAATACAGAAACTCATATTCAAATGCAATTTTCCTTCTATCAACTTAGTCCTCAAATCATTTTGGAAAGTTATAAGTAAGCCAAAAGAACAAATTCCGGAAAACAAATAGAAAAAAAAACTATCATGGGAAAAAAAATACAGAAGGTAGGACGACCACCGCTGATCCTAAAATTATCAGGTCAACGTGTGATCATTAAGGTTTTGAACATGCTTCTTACAGCAGTAAACCTGTTATTAAAAAATTAGGATGGTGATGAGGACCCAATTGCATCTTCAATCGTTTTCCTGCTATATAATCTAAATTATGTGAATTTGGACTGCAAAATTTACAAGGATTTTCATGAATGTTTCATGAAATTTCTTACCAGATTTACGAAAACTCGTAAATTTTATCTATTCAAGTTCACAAAAAAATCTTTCAATAATAACCAAAACTAATACGACTTTAATACTTATCGATTTATAGTGAAAAGTTAAAAAGCTCACACAAAAATAATTAGCAAGTTGATCAGAATTGGGATATGAAAGATCCGCAGTTTCATAAATAATTTTTGGCGTTTTCGATAATTCTTGTTTCAAGTGGAATGAATCTAAATACAAATATTACAAAAAATACCATAAAACCAACAGAAAAAAATAAAGAAAAGTAATCAAAATATTGGTTGAAATATTCGCCAGACCGCTTTGCAAAAAATCTGTTCCCTCACCTGTGCATGTGATTACTATAGGTACTTTTGAATTCAAACATATGTTTTTCAAATTCGACCAAAAATTTTCATCTTCGGGCAAAATTATATCAGCCTTAAGTAAAGAAAAAATCAAATTCAGCAGAAAATAAAATTGAAATTATATGATCTTTAAAAAAAACGAACAAATATCTTCTTTACACCCATGATACACCCAAATTATACCTTCATTCATGAATGCTGCCATGATTATTGTAATAATCTAATCCTCCACAAACATAGAAAGTAACAAAAAAAGAAGCTTATATTATGCTTACAATCGTAACCATTTTTATACTATTATATTATCCAGAATTATAATATCCTAGAATTTCCAAGATTCTTTAAAATACCACATACATATATTCGTTTAGATTTAGATTTTTGTCCTTTGATTTATTATCCTTTAATTTACATTTTCCTTCACCTAATGTACCTTCTACCTTTTTAATTTTTTAAACTGTCATTTGAGGCATCCGAATTTCGAAAATATATGAAAGATGATTTCAATTAAATGACTATCGAAAAATACTTCATCTACAAGCTACAAGCATCAATCGTAATTGAAACAAAATTTTCTATTTTTAAAATTTTGTTTAAAAAATTAAAAGAAATTATTTTTGTTCATTTTTCAATTTAAGAATTTTCTAAACATACATCATCGATGAGAATCAATGAAAATTGAGTGAGTGATTCAAAAGGTGTTTTTTTTTGAAACACTGATCGCAGATTTCCAGTTGATAAAATCTGAAAATCAATTTTACCAAAAGACTAAAAAGATAAATCAAATAATTACAAATATTTTATTATAAAATTCAAAAAAAAAAATGAAAAGAAAGAAATATTTACTCGATGCACCTGAGTGGCACCTTGTAATTTCGTTTTAAGATTTGCAGCACTACGCTTCTCGCTTGAATTCGATTCAATAATTCCAATACCCAACTCTTCAGCAATTCCATAAATCTAAATAAATGTGAAATAAAATAAATAAATCAAATGGAAAAATTAAAGTAAACGGTTAGTATTCATCAGTCCTGGTTAGACTGGCTGCTTGATTGTTACCTGTGCAGATATATTGTCACCGCTGATTTTTTTCCCATTTCCGATTGTTTCCCGAGTTTTTTTTATTGATAAGGATGTTGATATAGAAGAATATAAATTGATGGCAGCTAGCCCCAATGGGTACTTGCGACTTGTTCAATAGGTTCGTAAAGCAATATCAGATTTGGACGTCATAATTAGACGTTGCAATATAAATTTACGTGAATAAGGTCACGGTAAAAATACAGAACAGGAGTTGCAGAAACTTCAAGCAATAATAAAGCTGCCGAAGTTGCAAATGATGAAATTCGATTGGTCAATAAGGAGTTAGATCACGTTTAAGATAATTTTCTATCGACCATTGGAAACAGAAGTCTTGATCCAGTGGATAAACTCAGATATCTCATATCGTACCTTGAAAGAGAAGAGAAGAAATTGGTGAGTTCCCTAAGGATGGTGAACCATATAGGAATGTGTGGAATATTTTAGAAAGCAGACATGGAGATAAAACCATTATTATTGAAGAATTACGTAAAGAACTAAGAGGATTAAACGCAAAAACAAAGGATATGAAGCATATTCGCAAGAATTTGGAGCGAATATTTCGCCAGTTGATTCTTTGAGAAAAAAATGATATCAACAATAATTCGAGCCTGAGCATGGCATAAGCTAAATCCAATATATGTATTAAAAAGAGAGTAAAAAGAGTTAAAAAGAAGAAAAAAGAAAATATTCTGCACATGGTGCGTTGGTTGAGAAGACTCGTTGCTCGAAATGAATTTTGAAGTGAAAATTCAATCAATTATTAGTCGATATCATTTGGGTAATTTTCTGCTGACGAAAGAATAACTGAGAAAAAAAAGGGAAATATCGACAATCAAGGATATTCAGGGAAGCTCAATTGATTTAAAATTTTTTTTGAATTTTTGTAGAAGCTTTTTTCGACTTTAACGACATCATTGTTTATAAGTTTATTGACTTATTTTTGGAAATTTGACAATTTGCCAAGATTGATCTCGTTATTGAAACTGACAACAATCGAATTAATTGAATGTTGAAATAAAGTGAGGATTTTAAGACCCTTACAAACTTGAACCACTCACAAATAGATCTTGTAGATCAGTTTGAAGAAACAGCTTAAGTTACCAGCCACCTGGCCCAATATGTAAGTAATGGGATAAGAGAATGGGATGCATTGATAAATGAAGAGAACTCGCATCCATCCATATTACATCCATACAACTTATTGATGTACCTCGATCAATGCGAACACGATTAAAAATCTCGAGCATTTTTGCTATTTTTTTTTGCTATATCTTGATGCTGTTAACAAATCGCCAATGCTTGCGGCAACAAAAAATCCAACCAGATCAAGAACAAGTGACAGTGACCACTGCAAATTATTAAAAAGAAAGTCCAATAGGGAACGAAATATTTCTCCCTTGCAGAAAGATATCGGTCATAAATCCATCGAAACCAAGGAAGAGAATTCAAGCTTTAGTCCTACTGGATACGGGAAACAAACAGCTATATCTCAGAAACATTGCGGCTTATAGCAAGAGAGCAACAATTACTATATTAAGCTTCGCATAAAATACCACAGAGGCATCATACATCGATAATAAAAGTAAGGATAATATTACAAGTATTCACGATAATGGCAAATACGATGTCACAACTGATATCACAAATAAAGTACATGCAATATCAATCTCTAGGAACGGAAAACGGAAGATGTAATAAGAATGGCAAAATCCGACATACTGATAGGCTCAAATTATTATTTCTCTCTTATGAAATTAAGCGTAAAGACGAAAGATTACTGTGGAGATTCATTAAACGATCAATTGGAGAACCAAAGATAAAAAAATCTTTCCTCCGCCCTTTCATCCCAAAAACAAATATAAGCTTCCGAGAGAGCATTTTAGCTATTCTTGGGGCATCGTCAGGGGGATTGGGGAATACGATGGGGAAGGGTTTGAGAAATGGTTTGGGAGGATGGTTGTTGCGTCGTTTTCTTGCGCGTTGTTACCGAGTGCCTCACCCATCCCCATTAGATATGCCATACGGGAATATCCATATATACCATTCGTGACTCACGCGGGTGTTCTTGTTTATATTATTTGTATTAATATTTGCGTATTAATAAAGGTTTAATTTGAGGGTTCCCAACGAGATAATTAAAAAGAAAACGCTGGCCGAAAATTATAACTATTGATAAAAATAAAAATAAAAAATCCGCGAGGCAGGCAATCATCAAACCTATACAGACAAATCAGTGGATTCCCAAATGAATTTTTAGTGAAAGTGGGAATCGCCGAGCTCCACCAACCTTTCGTGTTGCACATTGCTCGAAGTTCTCTACATACTTTCTAAATTTCTATCGGCTAATAATATGAAAAACAGTAATATAATAGTGAAATATAAATTTTGCTTCTCTAAATACTATCTCTAAATTCTATATTCTCAAACTCAAATTCAAATTTGAATGTAAATGTTATTCAAAAATTAGTTAACTAACGGCTGCTGTTTTACCGCAACCAACTGGACCCGACAAAATGAATGTGTTGGAAAGATCAAAATTTGCATCATCTTCATAATCTTCATCAGTATCTTCTCCCTTCCTTTTTCGCAATTTCTTTCGTGGTGCTGGAGCTATAAAATATATTAGAATATAAGTAAAGGAATCGAAATAGTTAATTAATCATATATTTTTATTTCAAGCGAGAAAAAATAATAATATTGAATATTGAAAATCAATCAATATTAAATCAATAACAAAATTTATAATTCAAAAAATTTTTTCAAGAAAATTATATAAACCAAATTACAGGTGGAATATTAAAATATGATTACGTAGAATATCGATCTCTAATCGTTTTTTCCAGTTCTTAAGCCATACATGAATTTTTTTGATAGAATTTTCATTCGCCAATATTTCACTAAGACGGCGAGGCCGTAGAGCTTCACACCACATATCACAGGATGATATATTAATGTTTATACATCTAAAAGGTTAAAATTAAGTTTTCAAAATTTTAATAAAATGAATAAAAATAACCTATCATGATTATATAATGATATATTTATATAATGATTCGATAAAATTTATCTTAAACGAGAGTTAAAAAAAACAAATTCACTTTTCATTTATATTACAATCAACAGGATTGCTTGTCCTACATTTATCTTCCACATGTGGACTGGATTCATTACGGACAGCAAGCTTGAAGGAGTTATAAGATATACATAGAGAGGAGAAATCGACATGACCAAAATTCGAAAATGGTGCATGATCAAATTCTTTCAAACTATTGAAATGAAAATCTAAATGAAAAAAAAAATATCTTTTAAACAATATTTCAATATTTTATGTCCTCGAAGATTTGTAAAAAAGCGTTAAATGTTGGTTTCTGAGCAAAAATTATTAATAACATTATTTTAGCTGGCTTCAGAGAGTGTTTGAAAACCACTGATGAACAGAAAGGTAATTAAGGAAAAATTTCTGGAGTCACAAAAGTTATCTTAATTAAGAATAATTCCTAGTATGGATTTAATCATTTTCATAAGGAAAAAAACCACTTAAACTTTTCTTGAAAATGCTACCAGAGTGATTTACTGCAATTTGATCATTTCCTGATGCATTTTTTGGCCTCTTTAGAGCTGATGATTTTCTACTCTCAGTTTCCAACTTTACTTCGCAGATTTCGATATTGTTGACTGTATTGCTAATAGAAGCATTTTGGAATTGACCGAATCTTTTCGGTGTGGAAACTTTGGATTTGGGATGATTCATCCCAACTTTTTTTTTCTTATTCTAAAAAAGTTATCGGTGAACAAAAATCGACAATTTAGCAATCTTTTTGCTTTATTTTTTTGCTATGAAGAAAATTTTAAGTGTTGAATGATATAAAAAATTATTAAAATGTTTACCTTATGTCACAAATAATATTGATAACCATTATAAAATGTAAAGGCGCAAAAAGAAAGAATGGATGGGAATAAATCAAGTCATGCTACATATAACACACCAATATAAGTAAAATATATCTCAGATGTATGAATAGACATGAGATTTATAAAAAAAATAAACCTCAAACAACGGCGCTATTTTTTCTTTTGATAACACATTCACTGATTTTGATTGAGCATCATCAAGCTCCTAAAACTCGCTAATTTTTCCACGCATTAGAATTTTCCTCAAAAATAGGAATTATAAAAAGGGAGAATCCAATTATTATATAATCAGAATTACAGAATTATAGTTTGTATATAGATCCAATTCTATGCAAATTTTAAAAAAAATAAATTTTTGATATTTAACGACAAAGAGACTTCTGCAAGTTGTTTCAAATCGCTATCGCCAGCATTTAAGTGAGCTATTTGATTGGTTTGAGGCGATTCTTGATCTATCAAATATTTCAACTATTATTATTTTTTAAATGAAACGCAACAAATCTTTAGTTCGGAACGGCAGATTCTATATAAAACATGTATAAATTGATAATTTTTAGCAAAAAAAATTTAAAAGGATGAAATTAAAAGCTTCTGATAAGAAAAAAATGAAGTTGAATAGTTTAAAGCAAAAAATTATACGAACCGTTCAAAAGTGATCCGTCAGAAAATTTTTGTTCACATTGCATCAACAGCCAAACTTTCACCCTAAAATGATAAAATCCGATATTAAATGTTAATCGAAATGTTTATAAAGCTAAATATCAATAAATCAAAAGAAAAAAAAATCATTTCAATAAAAATCCGATAATTCATAACTAAAATGCATCCATCCAAATCAAATTCCCATATTTGTTAATCCAGTTACTAGCAACTACCAATAGAACTTAGGTGGAATTTCATAAAAAAGCGGATCATAGAATTACTTTGCGCACGATCCAGTACTGGGGACAGGAATAAATAAACTGCTTCGTCGCTTTTGCTTTAAAAATTCATGTTCATCATTCTTTTCATTTTCTTTTTCTGCCTCTTCAATTTTTTTCCTGTTTTTCGATCTTTTTGGTATAGACGTCTAAACAAAAATAACCTAGTCAAATAATATTCTGAAAAAGGTTATGATTTTTTATTTTGCCCAATTAGATCCAGCCATTAAATATTGATAGAAAAACAAAAAATAAAATAATGCCAAAGAAAATCACATGTCCCACTATCTCCTAAAGGCATTCAGGCAAAAAGTTTTAGCAATCGTAGGAGAACAAAATAAAATGCTATATTAGAAATAGTGAAACCTATTTTCAAAAATGATTAACACCATATCACTAAAAAAAAAAAAATTCAATAGAAATCCGATATTTCATAGCTAAAATGCATCTAAATCAAATTCAACGAAAATAACAAAACAAAATAAAATTTAAAATCCCACAAAATTCCATTTAAATTCTTAAATGATAAATTCTTACTATAAAAAACTGAATTCATTTATGCCAAAAAATGAAGCAAACTTACAAAACTGGAAGGAGAAGGTCCAGTTCTTTTGCGACTTCTTAAATCCATCAAATGGCAAGATAATGCTTCTTTCTAGAAAATGTAATTGAAAATTTATAAAAAGTCTTAAAATTTAATACTGTACCAAATTGCTACAGTACAATAATCAGAATAAATAATTCACTATTATAAATTACAAAAAGTTACACAAGCTATAACTCGAATAAAGAAATAAAAAAAAAACAAATAAACAAATGATCAAAATAAAAATTAAAAGACAAACATGAATTCCCGCTTTTGAGCGAATTTTCGAATTATTGGTAGATATATCCGATTTGTCATTCAAAAAATTGGGCATTTTGATAATTCCAGGAGTTTTACCAGGTCGAGGAGATATAGGAATTATTTGTGGCTCATCCATAATTCGTACTTTCTTTCCCAAATTTCTGCGTGCTTTCATTGATATTCGACGAGCTGCTCGCTGTGCAGCACTAACTATGGGATGCATATATTTCGACGACTGAATGTAAAATTTGAAATTTTAAATTAGTTCCAAATTGAATTGTATAAATAGAGAAAATTTAAAAAATAACAAAAATGATCTAAAGATAATGAAAAATGTCAAAATGTCAATCTTGAAAATTAGACTAAAATTAGACTTTAGATTAAAATTTTCGACGAAATGATTTCTGTTAAAATAAAAAAAAATCATTTAAAGCAACCTCTTCATAATTGTCAGCCGATGCTTTTTCTTCATCAGGAGGATTGAAAGCAACTGAATTCAGACTGAAATCATTCTAGCTAAAAAATTATTAGCTTTCTTCAGTGAATATTTATTAGACCTATAACTAAAAATACTAGTAAAGATTACCATATATATTTAAATTAATTCTAAAAAATCCAAACCTTGGTTTAACATCCTTCTCAATACGCATCATTTAGGCTAGTTCGATTAATTATGAAGATGATGACCCTTCCATCTAAGAGTCGTCGAGGGAATAAAGGCATATGAGAAATTGTGATAGCCATGACGATTTCATTTTTGATCTTCTTCTAACAGCTCACGCCATTAGTGGTTATGCTGGCTCCGCTGGCTACAAGAATAAGACGTCTCCAAGCGACTCAGTCCAACGCTATCACTAGTAGTAATAGAAGCAATTCCTTTGGCCATTTCTAAGTCCATATATCACTGGTCCTTCTGTACTTTCATAATCTTTTCTGGCTGCATCAATCCAGAGCTTGACTGCCTCTCCTCGCCTTTGACAACAGAATTTAACAAATAACGAAATATGCGTCAACTTCTGTGGTGAAAGACGCAGAACAAGACACCTAACCAGCGAGTGACGATCTGTGATAACAGTATTACAGGTGTAGTTGAGAGAAAATGGATACAATCATGCATGAATTTATCCGTTCGACGGATCCGTAAAATATATCTTAGACAGGAGTGCTTAAAGGCTAATAGCTTCTTAATATTTTCCACTCTCACTGGCCATGTTTCGAAGCCATATAGCAAGATTGGGCGAATTGCAGCTATATGGACGCGGATTTTCGTCTTTATGGTGATGGTGTATGTGAAGGTTTTGTCAGCCGGAAAAAACATATTTCTAGCTGTTGTTATCCGGGATACAATTTCATCCTTTGCCTGGCCATTTGGGATTTGAGTAGACCCAAGGGTATTTAAAATCAAGCATTTTTTCAATCGATAATGCACTGATAAATAGGTATTTTATCAGCATCTTGCATATAAGACGAAAACACTACCGTTATTTATATTGAATTTGAGTCCAATTCTCGCTCCAGGTGTTGACACATTTTTTAGTATTATTTGCATTTCCTTATAATTGCCAGCAAAAAGAACTGCAATATCAGCGTATTCAAGGTCTGTAATACTATAATCTGGACTGATTTGCACATCTCTTGAGTGCCGACAGGCGGTGTCCATTATATAGTCTATCGCATAACTGAATATTGTAGGATGCAGCCCTGATGGATGTTAGTTCTTATTTCGAAGAAATCTGCCAATTCCTCATACACATAGACCGTGCCACGGTATGCTGATAAAATGCCTTTATGAGTCGAATGATTTTCTCTGAGACACTGTCACATTCCATCATTTTCCACAGTGGTGATCTATCAATCGAAGACAGCTGCAAAATCGATAAAAGCAAGTGACGGTGGGTTACTGGTATTTGAAGCGATGTTCCAGCATCTTTCTAGCTTAAATATCTGGTCAGCACAACCGCTTCCCACTCTGAATCCAGCTTACATTCTGCTATCTCATGTTGATATGAGTCTATTTAGCAAGAGAGAAGCGAAAATTTTTCCGGAGATTTTCCGAAATTTGTCTTGTAGGCTGATTCCTCGGTAATTGCCGCAATATGTCCTGTCACCTTTCGTAGGAATTGGAAGTAGAATTATTTTGCTCTGGTCTTCTGGTATTATTTCCTTTTGCCATATCAGAGAATTTGTTGATGGTAAGTTATGAACGATGATGGACAACATTTGCAGAGTTCGGTCCGAAGACCATCTTCAGGAGCCTTAAGCTTATGGATTTCCTCTACTGTTGGCGGTTCACAGATGCAAACGTAAGGCTCAACGGGAGAATCAGTTATATTCGGGACAACAATTGGCGCATCGTGGTTAAGTTTGGTCTCAAAAAATTCTTTCCATCTTCTGAAACGATCCTTAATAGTAATGATCCCAGTAATATCTCATATCATTTTGCTGACTCCTTTTCGAGTTATAGTTGCTTTGTAAAGAAGGCAAAAGTTTCCCATTACCACCTATCCGAGCTGCCGTCTCCATTCTCAAGGCCATATCGCTCCAATAGCGATTTCTGTCCTGCCGCGCTGCTGTCGTTGTAATTCTTCGAAGCAACCGATAGTCAGGATGACATTCGGCCGTTAACAGCTTTTTGAAGTAGTTGGACAGTTGCTTCCTATATCTTACTAGCGCATTTCCTACTAGTATACCTTAGTGTGGATGTGGCTGACTTTTGTAGGTATGTCTTTAATTGGTGCCAATATACATCCGCCGTTCCAAAGATACCATTGACGTTCACTGAGGTGTTTCAATAATACGATTTGAAATGCGCTTATTGTCATCATTTTTGATAACAGGTTTACTTCAATGGGATAAGAATTGAATTGAACTCACAACTATTGCTGATATCTACCGTTTAACTTACCTTATATTTTATAGTAATGTTTTTTTAAAGAGTACTCACCATTGCTGGTTAGACTCGTTTTCGCTCGCTTTCTCTGTCACTAGATAAATATGCCAGGAAGTCCCTTGGATTCAATACAACTACAGGTAAATTGCAAGCACCACGCTGATTTTGGACAAGTTTACTCCTGTGGGAAGTAGGACCTTAGCAACGGTGTTGCGAAATAAGCGAAAATCAAATAACCAATTGAGCCATTCTATTCACTGTTTTTCGCCGTTAAGCGACAGTGCCACCCGACGAAAAGTGGTGTCGGCGGATTTGAACTCAAGCCTCGTTTCTTGGCGGAAATTATTTTGCCACTGAGCCATCAACTTTTATTGTATTACGAAATATTAGTTGCGATTTCGATTTCAATAAATTTAATTCAATTAAATTTAATAAATTTTGAAAAATCATAGATCTAAGTCGCACAATTAAATAAGAATACAAAAAAATTGGAATAATAATTTAAAATTTCATACGAAAAGGAAAGATGATTTTTTATGAAATAGTGTTAAATTTCGTGGTTAATTTAAATCAAGAATTCATTGCAGCTTAGAAAAAAAATCAAATTATTCTAATAAGAACCCCTTCGCTAAATACCAAAAGAAACAACAAAAAAACAAAAAAAACAAAGAAACAACAAAAAAAACTAACGAAGGTGAAGTTTCATTATTATTTGAACCATCATTCATATATGAAATCTCATTATTACGAGATTCTAAATGATGCAGCGAATTATCTTCATTCTCCTTCTTAAATTTCTTTGGTAGCATAGAATGGAAGAACCACCACAAAATGAACCACTAAAATACAAAATCAAATATAAGCCAGTACCATTCATATTTTAACGACAGGTTTGCTTCTATCAAAGCAAGATCCGAACCCAGATTCTCAAGACGACAATCTGCGGACCATTCGGCTAGCGTGCCTCCTCAAATAAAAAACACAGAAAATGAAAAGTTTTAAAATACTGAAGAAAACTTTCTTAAAACATAAATTTAACATAAATTAAAGAATTAAACTAATAAATTATTGAAAATTAACGAGCAAATAAAAACTAATTCAAGCTGCACTTCCGTAACTGTATAACTGTATACTTATCTGGTCCACATATGCGAAAATAGTGCCAGGGGAAGTAAAAATATGAGAAAGTAAAAGAAACAAAAGGAGTTCTGAATTTGGCGCGGGAAGAAGGGAGAAGTACCCAAGCATCCAGGCAACCTGGGCGGTACCACGACAGGGAGCGTTAAAGAAAAATAATAAATAAAAAACCAAAAAAGAAAATGGAAATTTTTCAAAAAGTAAAATTTAAACCGCCAAATTCAAAATTTCAATTTGAAACAGTGCCGAAGACGGATAACTAACTGCGGCCGCAGCTCAATGTCGATTTTTATGGCCGCTTGGCCTCTTGAGCTTTCGAGAGCAAAGGAAGTGTTATGCTTTGAGTTAGTCGCTTCTGGCAGTTATTTTCCCAGTTATTTCAGTTCCGTGTGGATTTTCTCTTGAGAAGGCAAGTCTATCTGCTAATTTCCTTAATCTGAAATCCATAGTGGTGAAAATGAATTGGAAAACGTTCACATCTTTTGTTCTTTTGCTGAAATTTTGCATTTCTTAAAATTATATTATCCGTGCAAATGATAAGTTACAGAAGTAATTCGCCTATCTAATTTTATCTTATCGGTTTTTTCATCCTTCAGGACATCGTTAAAATTTCTTATCTGAGAGAAAAGCACATTTTTGAAATTACCATAAATAATTTTAAACACACATTTTGGTTTGAAGAGTTGCTTTAGGCGTAATTGCAAGGTTCCACTGGTTGTGACCCATATTGTTCGGGAATTATAGGAACCTTTTTTGCGCGATCTAATCATGAGATACCCTATGATAGGACTGCTCGTTGCTTTTAGACGTGATAACTGGAGCAAGTCGAAAGATTTGCGAGAGTCTGCCTGCACGTTGGCCAGCGTCCACATGAGAGCAGATTGCCTTGATAAGCGCAAATTGCCGTTTTCCGTCCGCGCAAAATGAACGCGGAAGTGCTAAATGTCGATGATAAATGTATTTGAAAAATGAAAATTTTGAAATTTTTGAAAATTTTATTGCAAAAGAGTGGAAAATTATGCCAAAAATATATTACCGCTAAAACTGCAACCAAGTATTATAATCGAAGCACCATTCATTCCCCCGAGCATGAACGATATTTAACCCTAGAAAAGAATTAGTTTCATTCTAATATTCACTTATGTGTGCAACCATCGCTTGGCGAAAGAAGCTACTGTACTCTTCAATAGTCGGTAACCAGTTAGGCAATTAGCTAACAAAAAAACCAGTATAAAATTTCGGTGCAGCACATCTCTCCTGAAAGAAACTTATGGAGTTTCGACCGGCATCGGTATCAGCAATATCGGAATTCAAAAGTACACAAAGAATTCCGTAAGCGGTGTAAATAAAAATGAAGCAATGTTGGTCAGCGCTTAAGAAAATTCCATGCACCACCCGAATTTTTTAATATTGAAAATTTATCCTTGTTAGAAAATTTTTCGAGACGATATTCCGTACATCATCCATTCGGTTCGGTTTCATATAGAACAATCGATAAGTTTGGAATTACCTAAGGGACTTAAAAGGATATTCCTGATGGGTTAGACGAGTTGTTACTAGGGGGCTGGGCATAAAACGGAATTTCTGAATTTAAGTGATATTTAGTGGGGTTTAGGAATAGTTCTCTAAAAATTTGGCCAATTTTGGAGAAAATAGATAAGTTTTTCTCGAAAATCATTATTATGTAAATAATCAAAATAATTAACAAATAACCTTGTATGCAGATCCTAACTGTGGAAAATTGAATTGTGACTCATTGCCGAAATCCAATTTTATATCAGTTACTTCTTGCGAAGTGTCCAGCAAAATGTGGCCTATGTGACAAGGCGGGAGCTCTTGGCAAATGCCCAGATATGGACGATAGCTGTTCTATAAAAGTGAATTTCAGTGGGGCTTGCAACCTTGAAAGAATCGCTCAAAAGTGCATGAAAGCTTAATATGACTAAGTGCCTTACAAGTGAATTATTTTCCAGAAATATCCCACAAAGAGATGACGCTTTGATAAGTTTTCCTCTCAGTTAACCAGTTACATGACCAGTTAAATGACAATACCATTCATGAGTTAACGAATTAAAATGTGATTGCGGGTCCAGTTGCGACAACTACCGCATCAACTGTAGTCTCAACTTGTGTATTGATAAACGAACTAACTGCAAGCAATATGAGTTTTTCCCTTCTGTCGCAATGAAAAATACATGCAGGTCCTGAACGATGTTTGCCCACGTACTTGCAAATTAATGCCTTCATAAAATAGAATCTGAACTATTATGACTCCCTTCGATGCATTTTCATTGGTTGTTCATATTATTTAGGCAAGTAATATATTAACGCATCTAATATTAGATACTAATGGACTCCGAAAAAAAGTGTACTCATACTCTTTTTTTATGGCAACGAAATAAAATTTTCAATGCCTCAGTGGATGCTCTACAGATAATTCTTTGCTGATGTAGAGTGATACAGATGCTGATGCTGGTACAAATAAAAACTGTGATCTGAATACTTTATCCGAAATTGGCGAAATTGCAAGCAAAGATTATGCATTAGTTGCTTAGGCAAATTACAGCACAGGCCATGTGGAATCTGAGCCAACTAAAATATATTTAAATTTTCACTTTGATCGATGCTCTGATCGATATCGGGACATTGTTCAGTAATTCTTTTTTTCTTCGCAATATCTTTCTTTTCTACAAACTTATCTGAGAAACAACGAGTTGTTAGTTGGTCTCAATGCGGAGAGCCAAGTGCTAGAATTTCACCTATCTTTATACGCAACTGGTGCTTTTTCTATCGACAAATGAATTCATACTAATTACTCAGAGCAATCAACGTGCAGCTATAGAGGAATGTATATATGAAATTTAATAAGAACACTTCGCATAAATTTTGCATAATTTTTTCAATATTCTAGCATTCATAAAGAATAAAAAATGCAATTTTATTATTAAAATCACAAATCATATAACTTGATGGAAAATAAAATAAAGAATGATACTAATCCCTTTCAGCGACTGCATTCAAATGACTTTCAATTTCATCGTTTGTAAGCCGCCTAAAAAATATGTCATTTAAAAAAAACGAATTATGCAGTAAGTAGAAAATATCACAAAACGAGCGAATCTCAAGCTTAAAGTTTCGAATAAAAAATACATTAGCAAACTTGAATTTTGAATTTTAATCAATACTGTTTAATAACTATTATAAAATAAGATAATATTTTTTCTTTTCTTCAAGCTAAATCCACCTCGTTTTGCTCGTTTTTTTAAATAGCTATAAGATTCCCTATGTTCAAATAAATTAAAAAGAAAATGTTTAGATAAAAGAAAAGAAAAAGAAAATAAAGAAAAAAAGCATTTGTTTCATCAGTTTTTTAAAATTTCTTATTTCGAAATACTACAATTTGAATTCAAAATTTTTCAAAAAAAAGCCTTAGTTTTCGATTATCCTTCGTTACAACAGCAACTTCCACTTCATTTGATTTAAGATCAACACCAAGCGACGTTTGGAGACATTCCAGTGCTAACTAAACATAACTTAAATAAAACTATAATAAAACTGTAAAATTTTTTAAATACTTGAAATAATTGATTATTTCCATAATTACATATTTATTTCTTCATTAAAAATTCCAATCGAGAACCAATGCGTAAAAAACAAAAAAGGATTAAACTTTCAATTCCATTGTAATTTCAAACTGACTTGTATATTTTCTTCAAGATTGAAACCAGTCTTTTTCTTTAATTTTTTCTCGAGAAAAGTATTGACTGCTTGTTGCTTTACACCAACTCCAACACCACGCATGCTCCTATAATAACCTGCTGGATCGATACGGAATATTTGCGGCCCAACTTCTTCATCGTACGAAAATAACAACATCACTAAAATAAATTTTTTGGACTTGAAGTTAGAAATAATTTTAAATTTTTTTTCTAAGTCATTTAAGTATTGACCACAACCAAGCGACCGTAGTTCAGCATTTTGAGTGTAATACTGGTTTAGATCGGCCATTCTACGACTCAAATCACCCACTGCCATATCACAACCATTTTTATATTTCCATTCAGCGGATTCTGCTCGAGCACGTTTGACTTGAAATTTGCAATCAGCTGGAATCGAAAATTTTTAAAAAAATATGAATAATTGATATGGGAAAAAGAAAAGAAAAATAGAATTTCGTAATCTTCATTTCTCTTCCGGAATAAAACAATGAATATCTTTATACCAAAATCTGAATACCAATATCTTATCAATATTTTATTTTTTCCAGATTTTTCCAATATATATTTTATTTTTTCCAGAATTTCGCATTTTTGAATAAAATGCACTTTCTGCATTTCTTAATATTATAGCATTATATAATTTAAAAAAGAATGTACGAATCAATCCGATAACTGCAGCTCCTATTGTTGGTGATAAATCATAAATGCTCGTAATTGATTCGGCAACTATAAGTTTATCCTGGAAAACAAATTATTTCATTCCAGTAAAATATCGGATAGAGCAGCAGTGGAAATTTATATGTCAAACCTATACCCTATAAGTCGAAAAAAATTATTTTTTTAAAACTACTCAAAATCCAGGTAAAAAGAAATATTATTAAATTCGAAAATGACTATTCATAGAATAAGAATTAATTGAAATTGACCCTTTTTTTGGTAATCTGAGCAACAATAACTCCCAAAATTGATGAGAAATTAAGGAGAAGGAAAAAAAACAGAAGATTATAAAATTATTATGCGAAAGTGATTAAATAAAAGTAATTAAGGATAGCAAGCAACAAGGAAATGGTTAGCACTCACCATTTATGGTTATGCTCATCCCACTGATTGACTATCATTATAATTTTCCCAAAGAGCTATTCGCTAGATAAATTTGTAGATGGTGTCTTTAGCATCACCCAAATTTAAGCCCTTGGCAATTGATGGCAGTTAAGGACTGAATTATGATAATTGAAATAATAAATTAGACAACAACCAGCAAAATCGCCTCTATGAGAGAGGTAAGAAGTACGTGGAAAGAAAAAGGAAAAGGTAGTGCGAAGGATATGATGGAACAGTTCATAAAAATGGGATTGCAATGGCATAAAGAAAAAATGATGGAAAAGAAAATAAAACAGAAAAAAAAGGAAAAATTTTTGCTGTCCACGCGACTGAAAGATATCACAAAATATTAATGAATTAATAAATTAATATTAATAAATAAATTAAGTTGAAATATATATAAGCAAGAATTTATTGACTTATAAATTATAAAATATTTACCGGCACTCGTTTCTGTACGGCGACAACTACTGATTCAGAACCTTTAACAGCTACAGCAGTTAAATTCGGAGCATTGATAGCTTTAAATGCATATTCTGGAACAGAATTTTTTTTTTGAAAAGTGAACCATTTATTAAGATCATATGAATCTCTTCTTCTTCACTCAATATTTCTGGCTTGACTCACCCCACTAGACTATTAAAATAAAATTTTTCCGCCAGAGAATCTGCTGATCACCTGAATCCTCAGAATTACATGCGAATTTCACTACAACTCGAATTTTACTCTTAATAGCAGATCTACTCCTCTCAGTTAAAGCGCTATACCAGTTTAATAGTTCACGTTAGCTTCTATGAATTAGAAAGTAATGCTAGTCCTCGGACACCAGACCAGTTCCTTAGACTAAGGCTAGACTCGTACTTTTGCATTCTTCCTTTATGTGCCGAAAAAAGAAGAAAAACTATTTAATAGAACATTCTAGAGCAATTTTAAATATAAAATAAATAAATAATAAATAATATACTGAACTTTTGCTCAAATATTTCCAGATAACTATTACTATCCAAGAGAAATATTGGTCCAAAAATGGGCAAAATAACATATTAAAACCAATTATAGGACAATTACAGGATAGGATAAATTATTAAAAATTATTATTAAAATTAATTCAACGCTTAAAAAAGGATTTCTAGAATATCTCCTCACTTCTTCATAGTGAATGTGCGCCAAGCTATATGGTGAATGGCCTCAAAAGCAATGGGACCGAACCTGGAATGAAACGGCAGGGGAGGGATCTTGAACAGAGAGGCTTTTATAGATAAATTCATTTAATGGAGTCAGATCGATATGAAATGCCTCACTTGCCAGCCAGCTGAGCAACCAAGCCAGAAATCATGAGTGCTAACGGCATGAATAGGGCCCAGAAATATAAGAGTGCTGAATGCTGAGGAATAGAAAAGTTTTTAAAAAAATTGCCAAAAACAAGGAAATTTTTTTAAAATATTTAACGAAATTTTCGAAAAGCGTAAATGACTAACCAACTTGATAAACACGTCCTTCGGGCGAGAAAATTGTTATGTGACGATCGAACCCGGCACTGCTACCACGCGACATGATTTCCTTTCCTTTTTACAAGTCTGAAAACCACTCTTAAATAAATTTCCTGCCGCTTGAAGACCAAACATGTCCCAGCGCAGTGACGCTGTCCAAAGGCGCTGTCCGCTCAGATAAACCTGTTCGGGCATGGAACTTAGACTTTGTGGCTTTCTTGTTGTCTTTTTTGCAAAAAAACTCTTCGACCGATAAAGAATGAACAAAAGAACGCTTCCTTCCTTCCTTGAAAAAACTGAACGCTAAATCCTCAACAAATGAGAAAAGAGCCACCACACAAACCCTTCAAATGAATAAAAACTTCTGGCGAGACTTCTGGCGGACCGCATTCGTCAAGAATGTGACGAATCGAGCCGACAATTAAAAAAAAAGTGCACTGCTTCCTTGACGCGGCCACAGCCGTATACTGCGGCCGTCGAAGAAGAAGGCTCAGACGCCGGTTTTCCCACAGTTGTCACCATTCCGGTGGTTAACGGGTGTGAAGTGTGCGGCGGGTTCCTACATTATTTTAATGTGTTCATTTCACTGGCCCTGGAATGAGTCCTTAAATCCTTAAACTGGGCGACCTAGGAAATCTTATTAGACCTGGGAAAAAGCGCTTTCTTTTAATTAAAACTATCGCGCTTTTCAGTTTGACAAACCCAAATAATCTGCACTAAGTGATTTTTTGAAAGAAACTTTTATGGAGATTTTTACGAAACTTTTATTTCGAAGAGTTTAAACGTAAACGTGGTCTTTGAGAAAATATTTTTATCCGAGCAAAGCAGCTTTCTTAAGCTAAAAGTTCAAAGTTCAGTGTAGCAGTGGTTTTCAGTGCGAGAATCGTATTAATTCTTACGGAGTCTTGCTAAATTAGTATTTTCGAGATTAATCTGCATGTTATCCCAACATAAGGTTTGCAAATGCATGGCTCTCTCTATTCGAAGGAAAAGGAGAAAAGCTCGACTTATGAGAGTGCGGTGCCTTTTCGACGCTATTAGAAGAAAGGAACAAACATTGGTAAAGGGAGAATGGTGGCTGTAAGTGTTACGCTGGATTTGAGGGAATCTTTAGAGGTTTTAATAGGTACTAAAAGAATGTAATAACGAAAGTTCGAGGAGAAAGAAGGGAGGTGGGGGAGCAAATTCTCATTTTCTGGGTCGCCTTCTCCTGATAAATACGCATTGGTTAACCAAGAACATTAGCAAAATTAAACGAACTGTTTCGATCTGCAAACGAGAAAAATTCAGAAAAACCGAATTACAGTTTATCCATAATATGAAATATTGTAAAAACGAATGCCTTCAACATATTACTGGATTTCAATGGTAGTACTGCAGCGGTGACCTTTTTTCGTCATGTGCACGTCACTATGTCCACATTGGTGACACTCGCCTTTTTCAGAGTTACTGTACTTATCCATGAAATAATAATTGAGTTTGTTTCGAAGTAAAATGTGAAGGAGAAAGCAGGTGGCAGCTAGTTGTCCGTACCCCTACCACTGCAATGCAATGGTGCTCGATGGAACTAGCCAAGCCAGATTTGGTGCAAATCAGGTGCAGAACAAAATCATCAGTACATATGTTGCAGTGATAACGAGTGGATTATAATTTAATACAACACGAATATGAAAGAGAGAAATTTTTAGCTAATTTCCAACATTTAAAATGCAGTCATTAAGTATTTTTTTGTATCCAAGGATGCAACTGCAAATGTGGATGCATCCTATAATGCTCGCATCAACTTTGGTTCTGTGTTCTTCAATGCAAACGAATATCTTGTTGGTTCCACATTTATGATTTCTCAAGCGGCATCCGAGATCCGAAACGAATTCTCCAAGTTCATATTCCTTTTTTATATCTATCTGCAAATTCTTTTTAAAACTGAATGCAGCACGAATTCATTAGTCTTGCATATTGAACTCATTGTTAGATGTTAACTAAAATTAAATTTTCGCAGATTCATTTAGAAGAAACAACTGAAGCATGTTAAGTTTCGGTAAGTTTCGATAAAAAAATAATAATAAAAAAAATAACGTATAAAATTGCAGTAGAAATCGTGTTGCGAGATGTGGTAGTCGGTGAATAGTCAGTGGTACTCTTTTTTTCGCAATCAGAATTTTTTTCAACAAAATCAGAATTTATGCAATTACATCGCTGCATGCAATTCATTACATATGTTTCGTCATGAACTATACTACTGATCACGTCGAAAATCTTATTATTTCCACATTTTTTTCCAGTCAATTGGCATCCCACATCATGAATTATTGTTCCAACTTCACAATCGCTTTCCAAGCACTAAAATTAACGCGATTAATTTGATTGGTTTTTAATCTCTAACCCGGAGGATGGAAGGGCTCAGTGGGTTGTTGCTTAATTCGAAGTACCGATGCTGAGGTTCGATTCCTCGCAGGAGTAAACCTGTCCAAAAATCCGGGTGATGCTGGTGATTCACCCATATTTCTATCGCCAAGGGACTCCTTGGCATATTACCCAATGCGACAAGCCAGTGGAGCGAATTCATGGAATCTTTCAGTTATTCAAATTATCGTTTAAGTTTATTCTTTAAGAATAAAGTCAGCAATTTTTTAGTTATAATATTTTAAAAGAAAGAAGGGATTTTTTTGAAACTTACAGTACTTTTTGGTTCATTTTCTCTAATGCATTGGCCATTTTTTTCTCGAAATCCATTGTCACATTGGCACCGCACTAAACACTTTTTAAAGGAATTTCTATAGTTGGTCTGTGGGCTTTGGAATAGAACGAACTTCATATTCAGTCCACAAAAATGTCCTTTTAATGAACAGCCAATATCTTGAACTACTTCGTTAAAAGTGCACAGTCCTCGCATGCAATTAATTCTTCCAAACTGAATAAATAAATATTTCTACAAAAATTTTGAAAATTTTGAAAATTAGGTCGTTTCAACAAATTGTTCATGAAAAATTTATTTCTGAATTATTTTTCAATTTCTAAATTAAATCTATTTAATTTTTTTTCCGATAACAGTTCAGCTAAGTTCTTTTAAATTTTTAAATCTTGAAATAAATTCAAAAAAACATAAATAAAATCAATCAATCAATTATTATGGAATATATATATATATATATATCAAATAATTTTACTATTCTTCATTCTTTCTTAAATTTTTTTCCTTTTTTTGTCTTTGTCTTTGACAGAGTAAGCCTGTTATGGTATAAGAAATCCGGATGCTTGCTGGGGACCTACTACATCCACGAATGGCTCTTTGGTGAAAGGCTTAGGTCTCCTAGATATTTTCAATTCCGTGTTATATGCGATAAGTACGCAATCCAGGCTTAGTCAAACGATCTCAGGGCTTAAAGGTATGATCTACTCGCCACGATAACTCGAAAGCCGTCAAGGAAAACAACTCTATGCACGATGTGTTAACCGTAGCACCATGGAAGTTCAGAACTCTTATGGACGCGAAGCAAGCAATCATTGTCTACAAATATCGTGTGGATGTCACCTCCTTGTAGAAGGTGCTTCTCCTGCACTTCTGGTCTCGTGCAGCTACCAAACCTGGCTTCGAACAGAGGTACTGGTTGTATCATTGTGGTATTTCTGGTAACTCGGGCGAAGTGGCGTAGCGATTGTTCTATTTGAAAAACTGGGGCCGCTATGATTGAGTGGAGGCCAGTAAATGACTGCATGATCTATGCTTACTTCAAAAGAAAATTCTACAACATCACGATAACATTCCACAAGATCAACAATTCTGCAACTTTGGGAGCAGATGGCCGCCATAATTATAAGTTTTATGCGGAGTACTTCAACTGCTAACAACATATAATTTTATCGAAGAGTAATATGGTCATAATCGGAAGAAGCTGGAATGTGCGCGGTCACGCTGCCGCTACGATAAACTCAATAATGGGATGACATGAGGAGTTCGGTGCACCAGTGGAGAACACGTTGCCGAATAAAGTGAACTTTTTGTTACTAATATATGCTTCCAACATCGAAGACAGGTGCAGAGAAACTCCTCGAATAACCAACATTTCAACCAGATTGATTATATTTAGTCAGTCAGTAACAGAAGAGTTACGTACCAGATAATTCCCATTGCGGCGCTGATAACAGAACATGTTATGGTTCGAACCAAGATTTGCATAAAACTGTCGACTTGTAAGAAACAGCGCCTTCTAAAATCTTTCAAGATCCATCTCAGACTAAAAAGATTCGGGAAAGCATTTCAAGCTGAATTATTTAAAAACCTCAGTGAATTGAACATCAATGATATCTCTGGAATGGCGGATATCCCAATTGAAAGAATATCTCTGTAAGTTAGCCATTTCTACACTAAGATATGCTAGATATGAAATGATACGACATAATAATGGTGTGCTTGTTCAGGCTATTAAGGATTGTAATATAAGATGGAAGGAATTCTTTGAGGCTAAGCTTAACCGTGATAGTAAGTATATCTGTTGCTTCGGACATAGTTGAATCGCTATACAACTGCGAACCATCAGGAGAACAGGAAATCAAAGAACAGGACAGGAAATGTCCAGAAATTTCCATCTAGAAACTTAAAACCAATGAAATTCCAGGAAATGGTCTCTGGCCTGAACTCTTCAGATATTGTTCATCATCCTTCTTAACAGTTCTTTTACATATATATTCTCCGGTATGAAAAAAAGAAATAATATCGGATGAATGAAACAAAGCAATTATGCTCCCAATTCCTAAGAAAAGTGATAGGACATACCGCGACAAGGAGGATTTCAAGGAATTAATCTAGTAGACTATCCCGCGAAATTTGTTGTTTAACTATCGATAGACTGTATAATGAATATCGCTTGTCGGCAAAGAAATGTACAAATCAAATCAAGATTGTATCCACCTTCGCTCAAAGACCATTTCTATTAACAGTACTACCACAGAACGTTATCTTTGCTGGTTAGAATACTTCATCGCCAACCACAGGAGCTAATACATATTTTGCTGCTTACTAAACCCGCTAAACCCTGTGATTGGTGGTATCGAAAGCAAGGTGGGCCAGTCAAAACCTGGAGAGTCCGGAAAATTTTGAAAATATTGGGAGACCAGTGAATGTGGACTTGGATGATGGAAATAGGAATCGCTTCTACGGGATAGCATCAGATCGAGCGGCTGGGAAACATTATAGCCGGCAGAACCAGTCTAATCAGCAATGGTGAGAACTGTTAGAAGAAAAAATATAACTTAGTTTTGAAGCATTTTTCTATCGTTCCGTTGTATATGAAATAAGCACAAATAGGCAAATATAGCACTTTGTGGCATTCAAGTTTTTTTTCAGATTCGTTTCGTTAAGTGAACCGATTAATCAAATAAAATGCAAAAAAAAGTTTTTTTATTCTAAAAAAAATGTTTGTATTTATGAGACTTACAAAGTCAACGGTTATACGAATGCACTGATTGTTTTCTTCAGTATAACCATATGCACATTGACACTTCATAGTGCATTTGAGCGTTCCTCCCTCGAGGGCTTTGCTTAGATTTGCTATAGCCAGCTGCATATTTGGTCCACATGGATGTCCTCGTAGCGTGCATTCTACTTCGTGAAATATTTCTTCAAGCTTGCAATTTCCATTCTCAACACATCTTATTCCTATCCTTCCTTTCTTAAACTTTGTTATTATCACTGATGTTATCTCTTCTAAAAATAGACATAATTTCTAGCTCGGCTGATTCGCCAGGCCAACCAAACTTAAGCAAATATGACAGGGAGAAGATCGAGGTAGGTGTAAATCTGTAGCAGCTATTTTGTTTTAATTACTTTAAATGACTGGTTAAATGACCATGGAAATTTTTATCCTGGATATATTCCCTCTTTATTTTTTTGCTAAATCTTACTCAAGAATTTACCCTCTCTAATATTTTCGTTTGACTTTTGACGCTTAGCAATTCATATTTAATTATGCATTGTCCATTTTGTTCCTCTGAATAGCTGTCGCAAACGCATTCTTGGAAGCAATACGCTTGTTGCACGTGATTGATGGTTTCGAAGACCATATTAACGCCACAACTCTGCCCAGTTACAGAACATGTAAGATCGAAAATTCTATGGCCAAATCTATAGGTTCTCACGCGCTGATGAAAAGTGTTCTAAAAAACTTTTTTTAAAATCAAAATTAAAAAAATTGGAAAACTTATTCCATCATTTCACATTTTAGTAATACTTGCAAAGGCCATTGTCGTTGGGAGTCCATGGAAGCAAGGTTGATGGGCCTGTGGAACCGATTGGGAGTCGAAAGGGATTCTGGCGCTTAATAAACAAACATTTCTTTAAAAATTCACAAAAATTTATGAGTCACTATAACTGTGTTTTCTATATTTTTGCTAGTTTTTTGCTGCTTTTTTTAAGGAATGTTTTATCATAATTTTTAAACATTTATAGACATGGCGAACATTTATAGGCAAAGCAAACGGTTGAGCATCCATAAATTTTTTAATGAAAATGTCGTAATTATAAGAAATTTACAAAAAAATTATTTAATTAAAACTCCATTTTTTTTGTTATTCCCATGATTTAATTTGCAAAATGTCTAAGAATGAGATAAATGGATCGAAGGTATAAAATATTCTTTTGTAGAAGATCTATAGAAGAAAAAGTTTGAGAATCCCTAAGTTATAGGATGGGCATGAATCGCTTTAAAAAAATTGTCGTTATCCTTCTTCTCTTCTAGGATAATTTCTGACAATCCACTCCATAAACTCCACTGACAAAGAGAAAAATGACATTCTCTCGTCAGATGACCACTTATCGTTAGGAACAAAAATGAATTCCTCATCACTATTTCGATATTTCACTTTTAATTTATTTATGAGTAGAAAGCGAATCTATAATGGCAAGTATTTGTTGCTGATCAGTGGTAATCAAGAAAGATAAAGGATCGTCGGCTTTAAAAAGGTAGCCTAGTTTCTACAGATTAGTTTTAATTTAATTTTAACCGACAAGATAGCCTTCAATAGCAGTGAATTCGAGCCAGTAACTTGTGCCTCTATCCGTAAAGCTCTCTGGCAAAAACTCCTAATCTCACTAACTAACAGCCAGTGGAGTAAACCTAGCTAAAAATGATGAGTGGTAACTACTTATATCTAAATTTGTATTCCACTGAAATTTCTTCATTCACTTGTTTTTTTTTCTAAAAAAGTTGTGAATTTCGTTAGACATGAGGATGAGCTGACCTTTGAATGATAGCCACCAGCATGTTTATCGTCCAGTTCATTCGAAATATATTGGACACAACGCATATTATATTCCACGAATTTATTCGCACAGACACATTTATCTACGCAAGTTATGTTGAATCTTGCCAATTCTTTGAACACCATATTCTTTCCACAACTACGATCAACCATTCTACATTCATAATCACTTACCAATTCGTTTAGTTCATACGATTCTTCATTAGAAGGCGTGGATCCAGCAATAACCTATTATCAATAGTTACCATAATTTGATCATAGAAAATAGCATAGAATGACAATATATGTCGATTGTAGATTGATTAATCTTATCAGAAAAATTTTCGAAATATTCTTCCCTCTTAAATCACTTTTTCTAACAATAATGAGCTTTAACTGTATCAATATTTATCACATAATGGAAGTATGAAAATAAATATTTTGTCTTTAAAAAATATTTAAAAAGAATATTTTATTATTTATATTTTATACATATGTTAAAACCAGCAATTTTTCTTTGAAAACTGGGCGTATTATTGTTGACGTTTTCCTTTTCCTTTTATCTTTGAAAACCTTTCCCATTCCCAGTTTGGTCGACTTTGTCTGGTCAGGAAATCCTTTCTTATATTCGATTTTCAGGACGAAGTCTATTCCCCGCCAAAGGACGAAATCCTGGCCATATAGTTTGACACTTTAAGCAATAGACCACTCAGCTTCACTATCCCCCGACTATAAGAAATAATTCTAATTTTACGATAACATTCAACGAAATTATATTTTATAGATCCTTATAAAAGACTAAAATTTTCCGATTAACTAAAAAGAAGAAAAAATCTTCCAGAAACCGTCGTCAAACGCCACCCAATATTATTGCTTTGACTAGCTTCATTGGTTGTCGCGCAAAAGCGGATAGGGCTTTTTCGTTAAAGGTATTTAGCTAGAGAGTGAGTATTAAGATAAATATCAGTCGCAAACAGCCATTCAAATCTCAGTTTTAATGGCAAATTAACTGCCGCCTAGCAACCGTAATCAATCAACCGTAAACTGATACTGTTCAGTCAGTGCTGTTGAAGCAAAGCATATGTGAGCAGTTGTTTTTCAGATATTCGTTTTTTCAATTACTGATCATCTTCGGACTGAATAAAAATAGCTGAATTTTAAGCTGTTTCAATGAAATTACTCTCATTTTTACAGTCTGGCAGCATTTTACTTTTAATGGGAAACTATTGAAAATAGTTTCATCGCATTCATTAATTTTAGAAATATTTACTTTTGAAGTTAAAATTGTATTTGTGGATCCAATATTCATGTCAGGAAGTTCTTCGGTACACTGACCATTAATTTCAAAATGCCGTGCATCAACACATGAGCAACGTTGCGAGCATTTTACAGCCATCGGTAAATTAGATGAGACTTCCCGCTCAATTGTGTAAAATGCCATATTTCTGCCACATGAAGCATTAGTCGATAAGCAACCGAAATCCTCGAAAATTTGGCCAAGTTCAAAAACTTTCATTTGCGGGACATTGGCAGTGGAATATTGCAAAAAAATCTAAATCAGTTTATTTAATCGATGATTGAATGACAGATATTCTCACTTTTTAGCATCGAATTTCGTTCATTACTAAGTGCTTAGAAGCACCATTTGTGGGACAATGTCACTAGCATTCACTAAAAATGGCTTCAAAGGTTTTCGCTAACACCACTCGGATAGAATGTTCGAAAAAAAATCTTATTTTCCTTATCAGCAAATAAAAAATTAGTCCACCATAATTATTATCAGTATTGCTATGAAAACATACCGAGAAAATAGTTCCAAACAACATTTGATTGCAATTTGATAATAACTGACGGAACATTTTTTTGATAGTGTTTTCACTGCTTTCATATATATTTTAATGCAATCAACGAATCGGCCCAGAGTTTTCAAAAAAATTTAATTCTCTTTGAATCCGTGCGATTTATAATATTCTACGAATATTTAATTTATACAGCTCATGACTGAATTTAAAATTGTTTTGCAATAAACGCTATCGTATAGAATGGTCGTTTTTTTCGTCTGAACACATTCATCTTTTCACATTTTTTCGAATTGAGCAACAAGTAATTTTGGTTCAGAAGTAAAACGAAAAGATCAAGAACATTGCCTTCGCGCAGCTAATGGCCTCTGAAAGCGAATATAATAAGCCCATGCAGTAACCCTAAAAAAAGAAATAGTTTCAGAAAAATAAGCGTAAGCAGTACGTTGCTGTGGAGAGCACTGTGGAGAGAGAGTACGCTTCATTGCCTATGTTTGGCAAAATATGCCTATGCCTAAATAAACCATCACATACATCACAAACGGTGAGACTAACTCAGTTTAGGGTCAGTAGCATCGCCCAAACCAGAAATAATATGTGCCGTTTGATGAGGAAATATATCATTAATTATTATCATGAACAGCGAAAGATGAAAAAATATAATCAATGTAATTACCCAATAACATTTTAAAGCACTCCTCATTTCTGGTTAGGCTCTCTCTTTGTCTTGTTGATTTGTAGATTGGCTTGTCGAACCAAAAAATTTCGCCAGCAAATCGTTTGGCAATAAAAGTATAGGCAGCCAGCTTTGTCATTCAAATTCATCAGTTCATGTTTCAATATTCTTTTAGGCACTGAATGAAGATGATAATATTGCATTCATAAATACGACGTGAACCGAAATACAGATTTGTAAGAGATATGATTTGAGAACGAGAATGGTTCACGTTATAGGCTGATTTATGTTCCGTGATGGAAATTTATTTATAAAAATTAAGCATGATAAATGCCTAAAATAAAAATAAAGATAAAAACATCTGGCAGGCACTTAACCAGAATGAACTGAAAATAACGAAAGAGATAATGTGGAGAAAAATAAAAATAAAATTTTTATTTCACACTTTTATTAACAATAATAATAATAAATGATTAATAATAATAACTACAAATAATAATAATAATAAAAGGATGGCAATGTACTGCAAAAGGATGTAGAATGACTTAGTGGGAATTTTTGAGCAGCCAATGCTTAAGGAGAAAATCTATTTTCAAAAAGCTGATGCTTCCGATTCATTTGTATTTATACCAAGGCAATTTCTGGCCAAATTTGGTCTGATCGGACGAGCTAGTTTACCGGCATAATCAATAATGGTGTGCACTTTTTTTAAAGGGTCCTCACCATTACTGGTAAACTCGCTCCACTGGCCAATTGGGCAATATGTCAGGGAGTCCTTTGGCGATAGAAATACAGGTGAGTCACCGACATCACCCGGATTTTTGTACAGGTTTACTCCTGCATCGAATCGAACCTCAACATCGGCGCTCCCAGTTGAGCAACAACCCACTGAGCCATTCTATCCCCTGGTGTGCACTCTTAGAAAAAAAATCAAACAAGGTAATAGATAAAATTAATATAGTTTCAGTTCCACCTCTAACAATGAAACCACATATTATTTCGCAAATGTATAGAGCCAAACGTAAATCCTTCTGTATATGTGCTCATTATGATATAGAGAAATAGCACCCTTGGTTCAAAGCTATTGTGCGGTAGAGGTGTATTTCATGTATTTCAGGAGAAAATGGAGTCAAAATGGCTCAATTCTGATTGTGTAAATGAATGATTGACCACTATTCACTTCAGAGAAAGTTCTGCAAAACCACGATTGTGCATGCTCTTCGGCCATATAAGAATATTTTGAATAGATGAAAAAAAGCAAAAATTTGTTTCTTAAGAGCTTTTCTCTAAAAAAGTGCATGATTATTGCTAAAGAGTGATGGAATTCGAGGATGCAATGTCACCACAGTGGATATGGCATCGAGATGCCAAGATTCGACTGGCAAATGAAAAAAGATGCATCGCTTAGATTTTTTGTGTTTATTTCATCAAAAACTACCTTGACCACTAATGAATACTTAAATTGTTTCTTGCTAGTAGAATTTAGGACCAGAACTTTTCTTAAACTTGAATCGTTGATTAAATTCTCAATATTACTGATAATTCCGTATGCGATTAAGATTTTTGCTAGCGAATCATTTGGTGGGATGTGTAGGTGGTTCGTTATAAGTATCAGTAAACTTTCATAGGGATCAGGAGCCAGGCCTTTGCGTTTGAACACTGTGGTCGACTCAATATACCACTGCGCGATTCTATTCTTCCAGTAGTTGATCAGAAATAGTTTAGTCGTAATAGTGAAGGACTTCTGGATCAATGGTCTTGGTTTTCTTGAAATTTTAAAATTACGTAGGCATAATGTTGTCGCACATTCCAACGTCATTTTCATTTCATTTCATCTCATTTCATTTCATTTCATCTCATTTCATTTCATTTCATCTCATTTCATTTCATTTCATTGCATTTTCATTTCATTTCACTTCATTTTCATTTCATTTCATTTCATTCATTCATTTATTCATTCATTTATTCATTCATTTATTCATTCATTCATTCATTCATTATATGGCTGCTTAGTCGTGTCGCTTGTTGATTCATCGAGAATTGAAAATTTTTTTCATTGATTTATGCAAAATTAAAAGTGTCAACAATTAGAAATGATACAGTTGGAAATATGAATATGTTGGATATGCTTCATTATTCCATATCAATTATCTCATTCATACTTATTTTACACTTTTTTGTTTTAGTGGATAATGCTGTGCGATGAGAGTCGCCATTTTTGCAATGAAATGATATTAACGAGATAAGCAGATTCGCTCTCTACTGCCTCGCATAAGGCCTTCGTAGTGCTAGTCAGTAGAGCTGGCAAAACGAGAATTGCTGTCGCTTATTATAGGAAGAAGCCACCCAAAACACCCACCATAAAGAATGTGTTGAAAATTAGAAATTTTGGCTGATTTTAATGCAACTGCCGAGTGCCTCCTCGTATTCAGCGATACAACTGCAACGTTCGATGCAACCTTTAATATTCGAATCGTGCTCGGCAGTATATTCTGCGACAATAATGAATATCTTGTTGATTCCACATTCATGTTTCTGCAAGCGGCAACCAAGGTCAGAAATTTCTTCTCCAAGGTCATATTGCTCTTTTGTATCCATCTGCAAGTTAGTTTTAAAATTGTCGTTGGACACTGAATGTTCCTGGGTTTCGCTAATTAAAACTCGACTAATTTTATGCAAAAAAGAAAGCGAAATAAAAAGCGAGAACAAAAGCGATAAAAGGGTCCTGTAAAAAATACTTTAAAGCCGTGCATTATTCCAGTAGTGATCGTGTTACGAGATGTGGTAGTTGTTGAATAATCAGTGGTACTTTTCCTTTCACAACCAGAATTCTTCTCGATAAAATCAGAATTTATGCAACTACAGCGTTGCATACAATTCGCTACATGTATTCCGCCATGAACTGTACTATTGGCCACGACGAAAATCATATTATTTCCACATTTTTTTCCAGCCAACTGGCATCGTTTATCACGAATTATTGTTCCAACTTCACAACCGCTTTCCAAGCACTAAAATTGGCATTTAATTGGTTCTTAGTGGAAGATTTCCAAAATTTCGAAAAAATGATTCACTATGAAAAAAATCTGCTTAATTCAGTTTCATGAAATTCCATTTGGGAAAGGCTATGTAAGGAAATATGAAATATATTATTATTGTCGTTTATCTCAATTATCCAATGAGCAGTTTATTTCAGCTTGGAAAATTTCTTAATGAAACGCCAAACTCTCGGCTAATCGACGAGCACCTCAGGTTCTACCAACGTTTATGCTATTTTCGTTCTTCTTTTTTGGCTATTTTTCAATAAATTTTTGCTTGATGCGATACTGTTTGTTATGTTAGAAGTTCTCATTTTCCTAAAATCCTTACAATCATCCTTAACAAAAATTTTTTATTATTATTTTTATTATTAAATTATTACTAAATTAAATTATTATTAAAAATTAATTTTAATTTTGAAAATTTTAATCTTAAAAACATGAAATTTGCATTTTATTTATTTTTTTCACGAAATATGTTTGAATTATAACTAAATTCATTCAAATTGAGATTTTCTTACAAGATCGATTAAGCAAACTGCGCATGAAGGTATTTTGAAACTCACAGCTTTCTTCAATTCCTCGTGTTCTGTAGTGCATTGCCCATTTTTTTCCATATATCCCTCTGCACATTTGCATTGGACAATGCAACTTCCAAAGGGAATATAACGATGGCGGTGCTCGGATCGTTTGATTAGAACGAACTTCATATTATGTCCGCAGAATTGACCTCCCAATGAACAGCTGATATCTCGAATTGTTTCATGAAGGGTACATTCTCCTCGCATGCAGTTAATTTTTCCAAGCTGAACAAATGTTGTTTTGATTTTGAAGCATTTTTCTTGACAAATACAACGTAACGTGGATGGTGCTTGAATTTTTTTTTAGATTCTTATTTTACATTCGTATCGTGATGCAAGCCTTTTAAACGAGGCTTAGTGCAAATGTAGAGAAAAATTACACTAAGAATAAGAAATTTTTGGTACTTACATAGTTATTGGTTATCTCACTGCATCCACCACTTATCTCAATATACCCATTAATGCACTTGCACTGCATAGAGCATTTCCAACTTTCATTCGTATAGATAGTATCAATCAAAACCAGCTTCATTTTTGATCCGCAGGAATGTTCTAGTAGCATGCATTCTTCTTCGTGAAATATTTCGTTCAGCTTGCATTGTCCACCTCGAATACAGCCAATTTTTCTTTCTTCCCTCTTAAAACGGATAGGTTCATTAAACTTCAAACTTTTACTCAGTAACAGAGTGTTTGCTTTCATTTCTTCTTCTAATAGATATAGCCTGTAGCTCGGCTGATAAGTTTGACTACATGGGTCTTCTTTTCTTTCTTTCATCCGAAGATTGCAGTGGCAAAAAATTCCAGTTATACAGCCATAAACTTTAAAAAAAAATAGTGAATTTCGTCTAGAACGAGAACGAAGCTAACCATTGAATAATCGTTATCAGCCTCACCAAAATGATTATCGACAACCCAAACATATGCGACGCATCGTTTGTTATGTTCAACAAAATTATTTGCACAAGCACATCTATCGACGCAAGATTCATTGAACTTTGCAAATATTTGGAACACCATATTTTTTCCACAGCTGTGACCAATCATTTGGCATTCATAATCACTGACCAATTTGTTTAGTTCATAGGTTGTTTGCTCGGGTGGTGGAGAGACCGTAGATGTAGCCAAAGCCTATTATAGTGCAGTGATCATTAGAATAAAGTTAATCGTGAGTGGTCGGTTGCCGGTTAATCTTATTTATTCAATGGTAAATTTTCAGGTTGCCGGTTAAGTAAAATGAGCATAAAGCGAGCATATTCAGGTCAAACCTATTTCTAGTAGTAACACTAACTTTAACTAAACTCTAAGCTGAAACAGCCCTAACTGTTTTTAAAACATGTATTACATCACATTGTTCGGATAAGTGTTTTGCGCTTAAAATTTTGTGGCCATGTTAAGAGAAGCTGTTTTTTCTTTGAGATAAAAGCGAATTATTTTTTTTCCTTCTTTTTTTTTCTTTTGCATTTTTCCTTTCTCTGTTTGAAAGCGCTTATCAATCCGATCTTATTTTTCTGACTTCACTGATCACCAAAATGTGATACTTTCGGAGAGTGGTTTGGGGATAGAAGTGCAGGTAAACCTACAGCATTGTTCGAATTTGTCTTTAAAAGATTTTTAAGGAAGTTTGTTCTTGCTAAGATGTTATTGTATTTAATAATCCGTGCGACTCAGCCACACTTCTATTAGAAATCATTATAATTGTAAGAAAGCAACACGATACCTTTAGATTCCTTATAATAAAGCTTTTCTGCTCAAGCACAATATTTCTCGCTTGACTAGCTTGTAGACAGTAAATCTTCTAGGTGACTTTTGCTTCAGAGAGTCAACATAAAGATCTACTGCCTTGTAAATATATTCAAATTCATATTGCTGACTCTCAGTAAAATACAATGAAATTTGCACCTCAGTACGAGTAGTTTTCACTGCAGTGGTCTTTAACTTTTGAATAATGTATAAAAAAGTCAGCCGATTTGATGAAATTTACCTTCATAATTAGCACCATAAATGGCAAAGATGGAAATAGTAACCAGAGGAAACTTTCTCGAAACACGTTTCACATTCTTAAAAATATTTACCTGTGATGTTGTGCTTCTAATATTCATATCCGATAGTATTCCAGTACAATGTCCATTAATTTCTGAGTGTCGTGCGTCAGCACACGAGCAACGTTGCGAACATTTTACAGGAATCAATGAATTAGACGTGACTTCTCGCTTAATTGTATAAAATGCCATATTTTTGCCACACATAGCATTAGTTGATAGGCAACCAAAATCTTCGAAAATATGGCCAAGTTTAAAAGTTCTTCTGTGCGGCACATTCGTGAAAGAATATTTCAAGATTATCTAAATTAATTTATTCACAATTTATTGAATAATAACTATTCTCATTCTTTTAACCAATATTTTCTCTAGTTTGATTGGCTCTAACAAGGAGACCACTTCATCGGAAGTGCATTTAAGGATAGAACCACAGATAACTCTCTGTTCAGACAGAATTTCTATAGACGAAATACTTCCATAACATTGGTCAATTGGTCAAAAATAACTATATATAATACTAAAATAAACATTATTCCTGTAAAAAGTTTACAGAAAAAGAGATGAACGCAACACGATTGCCATCAGCTTTCGAAAAATGATTTCTATTTAAATCTATGTTCTTCATGGTATTCTATGATTGTTTATGGATTTCGCGTGTCCATGGCAGCTCATGGCTAAATCTTAATCTAAAATTTTTGCTTTGCATCGTATTGAATGGCGCATTTTTTTAAATGCATGCAATTTTGCTTCAAAATGGAAACTAAAAGGCAAAGACATCATTTTCGTGCAGTTAATGGACCTGAAGTTGAATATTATAAGAGAAAAATTAAAGGAAATGATTATGCAAAGACATATAAAAAAATAATTTGAAAACAAACTAGAAATATGTTAACTACAATTGCCAGGAAAAACACACACTTCGATTCCTGTTTCACGAGATTCCGAGAAATAATCGCATTAAATCTGTGCAACCCAGTCAGTGAATGCGACACATCACTAATGGTATAAACCGAAGCTAATGTTTTTGGATGAAGAAAATAAGAATTACCATACGCTTATTATGAAAAGGGGAATACATAATCAATGGACTGAACTGCTAATAAAATATTATGCACCAGCCATATCCAGTCCTAGCAAAATTCTAACGAGATCGTGCAACATTATTTACGCGCAGTCAATTCTTCTAACTGCAATTATCATTTCAAGCTTGATTAATTCAAGCTAGTTTAGCTAATTGGGAAGTGAGAAGTGCTAGGCTAGAGAACCATTTGGAAGCAGAATCAGGTCTACATTATCTACATGGACTTCGCTTTTATTTACTGCTTTATTACCATCAAAAGACAAGAATTGCAATAATTATGGATCGTTCTTGATTTTTATGCGAGAAAATGCGCAAAACTTTGATTCTAATTGCTTGAAATGTGAATTCCTCCAAAGATACAGGAAGCGACAGCCATTTTTTTTCTCTTCTCTGTTCGGAGCAGAATAATAATTTCACGTGCAGTTCTGGAAAAAATGCAGCTCTTCGCATTAATGGATAATTAATTGGTCTGCTTCCGGGACTCTGCTATAATTTTGAGTGGATGAAGCAAAGTACTATGCAGAAACCCATCATTTAATAGCACATTGCCCGAAAAAGCAATATAATTATTATCACAGCTGGGATGCAATATCACCACTCTAGGTTGGCAAGTGCATTATCAAGATCCGCAGTAAGTGATGGGAGCTTCCTCTCTTTTTCTGAAAAGTGTGGGCTTTTTGGCACAAAGCATTTCTTTCACCAGTAATGAAGATTATCAGTGGTTAAAAGAATTTAGGACAAGAATCATTAAGTGGTTAGCAATGGTAATTCCATTGGCTATTTGGCCAATTATTGGCCAATTGACTCTAACTCCATTAGTTTAATTAGTTTAATCTTTAATATTGGAAGGTTTCGAAAGAATTTTCGAAAAGAAACGATTTGTTATGAGAAAATTTGCTTGACAGTGGATCAGTTTCAAAAACTCTCATCTGCTGAAAAGCTACGGTCTTAGAAATATATTATTTTTATCTCAAATTATCCAGTATGCGACCTATTTGAACTTGGAGGGATAAAGGTCGAACTCTCGCTAATCGACTGACATTTCAAGTTCTACCAACGTTTATTTCGTTCTTTTCTTGCTATTTTTCAATAAATTTGTTCTGTTTCTCATTTCTATAAATTCCTTACAATTTTCTTAAAATTCATATATTTATTATTAAATTATTGATAGATAAAGGAAACTGATTTCAAAAATCTGAAAAATTTGATTTCATTTTCTTTTGACGAGATTTTCGTGGAAATGAATTGTAATTTTTGTAATTGCAATTTAAATTTTTCAAATTAAAAAATAAAATAAGCAATTTTTTAATAATAACATTTTACAAGGGAGTATTTTTAAACTTGCAGTGTTCTTCGCTTTTTCAAGTTGTCTAATACATTGACCATTTTCTTCTTTGTATCCCTCTATGCATTTGCACTGAACGATGCAGTTTCCAAAGGAAATGTACTTGTAACGCTCCTCATGTCGTTTGAGTAAAGTGAATTTCATGTTATTTCCACAAAACTGACCTTTTAGTGAACAGCTAATATCGCGAACTACTTCATTAAGAATGCAATCTCCTCGCATACAATTAGTTTCAACCTGGATAAATGTAATTTTAGCATTTTTCGATTGCCCCACTTTATATGACATAAATTCCAATCTTATATAAAATTGAAATTCATATAGCATTGAGTAATATAATATTTTATTCTTTAAGTAGCGTTTGAATTTTTTAAAATCTTTAGAATCTTTTTTAGAATTTAAAATTTTAGAATCCAAATTTAAATTCATATCGCCAAACGGGTTACCGAATAATGAAGTCAAATTTTAAAAGAAACTTTTTACAACGATACTTCAAAATAAGACATTTGTGGAACTTACGTTTTGCGTTATCTCACTGCATCCACCACTTATCTCAATATACCCATTAATGCACTTGCACTGCATAGAGCATTTCCAACTTTCATTCGTATAGATAGTACCAATCAAAACCAGCTTCATTTTTGATCCGCAGGAATGTTCTAGTAGCATGCATTCTTCTTCGTGAAATATTTCGTTCAGCTTGCATTGCCCACCTCGAATACAGCCAATTTTTCTTTCTTCCCTCTTAAAACGGATAGGTTCATTAAACTTTAAATTTGAGTAACAGGTTCGTTCTCAATAACTCTTCTTCTCTAGCAGGCATATAGCTTTAGCTTTATTTCGGCTTATTCTACAAGTGGCTTGGCGACTCATCTTTCTCGGATAAAAATATGAATTTTTTTTTAAAATTCTTTATTAAGAAAATGCCCTTTCACTTTCCTATTGGTTTTTTCTTTTGTCTACCTTTTCTTCTGATTTTTTCGCAATGCATATTCAATGATGCATTCTTCACTTTTCTCCATCGAATAGGAGCCACAAACGGATTCTCGAATGCTACACTTTTAATAACAAATTCTCGTTCAAGCGAAAGAATCTATGAAGACGAGCAAATGTCGTTAATTAGTAATTAACTAAATTTAAAATATTTTCTGTCTTAAAAGGCCACTTTTTTCTAAAAGTGCTAACTAAAGTGCTGATTAGGCTTGTTGCCACTGGCTTTTCGCCAGCTGGTCGTTTGGTAACAAAAACACAAGTGGTGACCCACCGGCATCACCCGATTTCTGAAAGTCATATTTACTCCTGCTGCGTAGTGCGTAACATAGGCACTTCGTCGCCGCTCTGAACTGAGCAACAAATTCACTGAGCCATTCTCGATTTACGGTGACCAATCATCTTATTACTAAAAAACACATATATGACTGGATGGCGGAAAGGTTACTCTTCAGATTATTAGCCCGAGCACCAAGGTTGTCGCCAACAGGGAATACCACAAATAAAAATGAGCTACCTGTAGAGAACTGGCTATTTTTATCTACAAGTGAATCAAAAAATTAGATAGATCACTTTTTTCTGTTCTAACAGCCATAAAATGATAACAACAATCATAAACAACTGTAAGTTTACATATTACGATGGAAGATGGAAGAATCTTCTTTTGCAAGAAAATTGTGAATTTCATTTAAAATGAAGGAATAAGCCGTTGAATAATCATTATCATCATCATATGCATCAGAGTGACAATCACCAATCTATCCGGATTTATTGAATAATTGGAAAATCATATTTTATGACCGACAGCTATGACCGACCATTTGATATTCAATTTTCCCTTTCTCCCTTTGAAATTTGAAATTACAAATCGTAATTTGGCTGGTATTGGTGACTGCTAAGATAAGATTCATTTTCTAAAAGTCACTAAGTGATGAAAGTATAAGTAGGCTTACAACATTATTTGGATATGACTTTTAGTTTACTCTCGTCAATGGTCTCGCCCTTATATTCTGAATAATATCTGGCTCAGTCAGATTGTCCTCACAGCATGAAATAATTAAAATAATTGTAGAAGTATTCAACACGATTATATTCCGTAGATTCATTATAATACACAAAAATGTATATTTTAAAACCTTCAATCCCAAATTTCTTCTTCAAATATATTTCTGGTTTGGGTAATTTAACTGGCTGTCGGGCCACAGTTTTTTGGTGAATCTTTCATCAGACCAGAGCGTTAATATAGCATTAGAAATAAGAAGCAAGATGCAACAGAGAATTGGGATTGGTGATAGGCCTACTGTTATTTTGCAAGCGTAATAAAACTCGTTACTGCTATTCTCAGAATGGAATTAATAACCCGTTAAAATTTCCTCGAAATATTTCAGAGATATTTACCGGTGAAGTTGTACTTGTTCTTCCGATATTCGTATAAGGTAGTATTTCAGTACATTGTCCATTAATTTCTGAGTGCCGTGCATCAGCACACGAGCAACGTTGCAAACATTTTACATGCATCAATGAATTAGAAATATTTTTTCGCTTAATTGTGTAAAATGTCATATTTCTGCCACATTTGATATTAGTCAATTGGCAACCAAAATCTTCGAAAGTCTGTCCAAGTTCAAAAATTCGAATATACGGAATAGCGGCGAGAAAATATTGCGAGAATATCTAAGTTAGTATATTTACTTGGTAATTGAATGATGGCTATTCTCATTCTTTTAATTCTCACTTTTCTTCGTTATCATTCTGCATTTGGCTGACTCCAACAAGTGAAACTATTTCACCAGAATTTCACTTATAAAATTTCACTCAAATTTCTATGTTTTCTTGCAGATCGAAAAGAAAATACTGCATAATATAATAAACCTTATTCTTGCAAAAACTTACCAAAAAAATAGATCCAAGCAGCATATTTTGACTCGAATTGTAGCCGACAGCATAGATTTTAATTTTTTTCCTGTTTAATATATGGTTTAATATAATCGTTAAGTCTGTTTTCAAAAATTCAATTCCATTTAAATTTATGTTCTTTATGGTGTTCTTTGATTATTTAATTTTATACAACTCATGATTGAATTTAAAATTGTTTTATTTTACAAATTCATGCTATCGTATGGAATAATCGCTAATTGATTGGGACCTGAAGGCAGTTATTTTTTAAAATGTGCAAAACTTGTTGGCCCAAGATGGAAAATCAAAAACTTTTCGAGCAGTTAATAGAGTATGATTGCCCTGATGAATATCATGAAAAAACAGCTGATGCACTAAAAAAATTTTATTTTTGGCCATATATATTAAATAATGATAAATTAATAATAACAAAATAACGAAATAAATAATAAAATGATTGTTCAGTATTATGTCGGTTTAGTTGCTGAGAAATACGTTTCGGTTCATTTGTTCTGCCGAAATAGACTTATTAAATGATTTGGACAATGGCTTTCTTATGAAACTTAAATGTCGAATCCTAATGGTGGAGCCAGAAACATGTGCTGTAGGAAGAAGAGAAAGAAGAAATTTTAGCATAATCAGTCGGAAATGAAACGAATATACAATCTTTAAAATGAATTTAATTATTTAATTCTGTATACATTACAGCTAACAATTAAAAGAAAATCGGACGAAGTTATTTTTTTTTAAAACCCCCACCATTACTGATTAGACTCGCTCCATTGGCTTATGCACTGACAAGTATGCCAGGGAGTTCTCTTGGTGATACACTGCGGATGAGTCGCCAGCACTAAGCGGATTTTGGACAGAGTTACGCCTTTGAGGAATAGAACCTCAGCATCGATGCTCCGAAGGAGCAACAATCCATTGAGCCATTCTATGCGCCTGATATTATTTGTTAAGTTAATGTAATTCTCTTTTTCAATTCACCATTTTTATTTTGGTTAGTTCTATGTACCACAGAGATGATATCCTTTCGCTGGACAGGCACCAGATTGAAATCTATAACACCAATCGAATTTCAATTTCATTGGCACCAAGGAACAAGAATGGCAATAAAAGTCATTGATCTATGGATTGAACAAAATTATGGACAGGAATTATGGATTAATTTTTGTGCACATAAATGTTCAAAGAACAAAACCCATAATCACACTTTTAAATATTTTCATTGATCATACACATTCCACGTGCTTTCTTTGGTTCACTGTATCTGATTTAATGTAGAAATATTTATTTCTGAAAAAAATGGAGTAAGATGGCCATTAATGAACAACCCACTGACCTATAACCGTTAAAAGAAGTTCCATAAATGACTTGATCGTCAATAAATCTCGAGGAAAAGTTGGAATGAATGAACAATAATTTTTACTTACCTTTTGGAAAGTTATTAATATTCAGTCCTTCCAAGATGGTTTGTATGGACGATTAATTTTTAATGAAGCTCTGAACTTAAATCAATGCGACTCCATTCCTGATCATTGATCTAGAAGTCGAGTTAAAGTTTGAGTGCAGTTGAAGGTTTCCACCGATTGTTATTTTTATGCGTTGTGCTTTATGCTGATTTCAAATAGTAAATTGCTTTGAAGAATGGAGAAGAATTTCAGCGCCATGGAAACAATAGATTATCAAGTTGCAGAAAAACAGAAAACCACTGACAATCAGCAAGATTTTCATCAATATTATGCTACAATGCTCATTGTCCGGAAATTTCCATGTGACACTCGTTTTGAAAATATTATTGTAAGCCAAAAATATGATCTCCATTGACAACTGGGTCTTTTTTTCCAAGTTGTAGAAATCATGTGCTCCTAATATTTAATATGTTAGTATCGCTTCGTGCATGTACTTTCCAATCTTCCCCGATAATCAAGCAAATTGAACAGTTGGAATTAAAAATTTGTTAATACATTCAAATTGTATCAGATGTGGCTGGCAGCAGGACGGTGAGCTCAATCACTCTGTCGCAAAAGGTCTATTTGATTGGTTCATTCAATAATTCCAATAATAAATTCCAATAATTTTTTTCAAAAAAAAAGAAAATCAAAATACATCAACAAGAAACAAATGAGGCAAAGTAAATTAATGCGAACTAAAGCAGAGCCATCAGAGCTAAAAAAGCGCAGGAGAGCCAAGTATATCCTTACCTTTATTCTAAGAGTGAATCTCTTGCGAAAGGTTCTATGCCTAATTGCTAGCAGAACCAGCCAAATATTAGAAAATAAATGATACAAAAAAGATATATACAAAAGTTTAAGAAAAAGAAATTAAAAAATTACATTAAAATCATGCATATCAGTAGCAATCATGTCAACCGATGCGGTGATCTGAAAATGGCTAGAGGTACTTTTCGCAACCAGAATCCAAAAAACTGGAGGTCCCATGGCGAAAGAAGTACAAATGAGTCGTCAGCAACACCGAAATTTTTGAAAGACAGTCTTACTCCTGCCTGGAGTGGAACTTCAGAATCAGCGTTTCGGCCTTCCAAAATTAGCAGTAACTCACCGAGCCATTCTACTCTCTTTTACTTTTTCCAAATATTAGAAAATAAATGATACAAAAATTTGGCGAAATTGAAGCGTGGTGCCTTGGTCGAATTGCAGAAACAATCTTCGTCCTATGTTTTAACATCGTCCTATGTTTTCAGTTTGGTCGACTACAACAAATAAGGCCATTCATCAGAAGTTCATTTAAGGATAAAACTAAAATAGACCTTCTCGGATAGAGTTTTTAGGTAAAATTACATTGATCAGTGGAAAAAAAAAATAATTCGCTATAATAAATATTATTTCTATGAGTACTTATCAAAAAATCAGATGCACGCAGCATTGTTTGCTTGAGAAAATAACTGTTGAAAATGTGAAAAAAAATATGCTTTTGATTTTATTTTCATTGGTTTTATTTTTATTTAAATCAACTAAGAGCTATCGAAAATTCTATTTTATTAAAATCCTTTGTAATATTCTATGAATTTAATTTCGTACGTCTCATGACTAAATTTAATTGAATTTGTTTTGTACCATTGTACAAATATACCATTGTATGGAATATTGCATTTGATTAGTTTAGGGGCCAAAATTCCGCGTATAAAAGAAATAACTGATACGGTGAAAATATTTTGTCTCCATGCATGCGAAGTATGCATTAAATAAAAAAGAAAGCGCAAAAGTTGAGTAGAATTTTGCTGGGAAACAGCACGGTTCGACTGCTGAATCTCTGCTCCTTGGCAGATATAAATATTTTCACTGCATTTGGTATATCATGAGAAGTCGGTTGCTAAAATTGCTTGCTCTGCCATGTGCACTCATCATCGACCAATGGTGAGATCGTGCTCTATTGCACTACCACTGAATTTTTATCCCATTGCAAGTGACCATTGAATTAATTTATAAGTTATTTATGGTTCCTGAATTTTAAAAAATGAAGAGAAATTGCGGTAGTAATTGGAATGATTTTGCTAGAGCTATCTGCAGTTCACCATGAAATATGATGAAATTTCTGCAAGTTCAAAAAACTTTATGAGGAATACCAGCAGTAGAATATTGCAAGATTACCTAAATTAGTTCATTTAGATGATGATTTAATGTTTAACACACTTTTTTAAAATCATGCCTAATCATGCCTAAATAATTCGTCCGTATGTAACGAGTGAATAATTCATTTTTTCAGCGCTTGAAAGTAGAATTAAATGTGGTCTTTAACACCAATCGGGCAGAAATATAATATTAAAATTATAGAATAGATCCAAACAGCATAATTCGATTGCAGTATAACTGACATAATACGTTTTTATTTTCGCTGGTTTTCTATATATTTTAATATAATCAACAAATCGATTCAGAATTTTCGAGAATTCAATTCTGATGATATCCATGTGATATTCTACGAATATAATAATTTACAGTACGCCCCATGACTGGATTTAAAATTTATTTTGCGACTGTTCTGTCGCAAAGAATCACTGCAATTTGATTAGTTTAAGTAGAGGTGCTTTATTTTTTTACCAACTAACTTTCATTAAAGTGGTTTCAGTTAAACAAAAAATTCAATTCAAATTTTTTAACGTATTTCGAGCAGTTAATGGTTTTGCTAATGAATATGAATATTATGAACTATTTCCATCCAAACAAAATATATATTAAATAGAAAAATAAGCGCTGAAGTAGGTTTTTTGAATTGCAAAAAAAGAAAACTTAAAAGAATTACATAATAATAATAATAATAATAATAATAATAATAATAATAATAATAATAATAATAATAATAATAATACCGCGGTAAACTTTTTTTTAAAGAATCGTCACCATTACTGGTTAAACACGCTCCGCTGGCACTACACGAATGTCATGGACTCCCTTGGCGATAGAAACACAGGTGAGTTGCCAGCATCACCCGGTTTTTTGGACGGGTTTATTCCTAGGGGGAATAGAACTTTAGCATCGGCGCTCCGAATTAAGCAACATTGAGTCATTCTATCTCCTACTATAGTAAACTAATGGGATAAGTTATTTAATAAAGGAGTACAGTTACTTATAAAAGAAATATAGTTTTCTGATGCAGTTTTTAGAAAATTTAAAACAATCATTTGTCGAATATATATATTTGAATCTTTAAATATTTATTCGCTGATTTGTTTCATTTGCTCAGTAAATTTTAATATCGCATATTAAATGAAATTTTTCTTCGTAAATTGACATCGTAAAATGTCCAAATCATCAACCAAATTATCGTCTTTCCACTGATAGGATAATCGGATTCACCGGCGTGGTAAATCCAGCTGTGTTTATTCGAAGTGGTAATCGCTAAAATAATTTTATCCTTTATTTTATTTTTAAATAGCAATTTTTAATAATTTTATAATCTTAAAATAATTTTAATTTTTTGTAATTTTTTATCATATATTTATCTATATATCTGCACTTTATCAAATGTTTATCATACATCCTGTATTACAAATATTTTGTTTAAATAATTTATTTTCTGTAAAAATAATAAATTTATTCGAATGTCTAATGCAAAAGCATCAGTAAGTACTCACAGTATAAAAATAAAGAAAAAAATAAATGACAAAAAACCGATAAAAAAAAAATAGAGAATTTACCGGCGTCTTATCGCATGGTATGAAATGGAAATCTCTTAATAAACGTGCTAAAATAAGGCGAGTTGTTGTAGTGGCCAACCGTTGACCAATACAAATTCGTGGGCCAAAACCGAAAGGCAACCATGCTAAAGGATCTCGGTGAACTATATTTTCAGGAGAAAATCTAAAAGAAATTTATTCATTTCAATTTTTTTAAGCTATAGGAACAAAATAAGAAGAGAAAAACCTCTCGGGATCGAACTTTTCTGGATCCGGATAATAATCATTGTTGTAATGTATGGCGAAGATGGGTACCAATAGTGCTGAACCTTTTTCAAAATAGATCCCGCCAATTTCAATATCTTTATTGCATTCTCGTAATAATCTGCGAGGAAAATAATTTAATAGTTTTGAAAGAATTGTAGTAACCACTGTATAAAAACAAATTTTCATAATTTGCAACCATATACAATCATTATTTAAGTAATTTAGTGGATCGAATGGAGAAAAATCGTGTGACAGTAAATTTTATGAAATCAACGAAAAAATTTTCCAGGAAAAGTCCAAGTCAACAAATCCATGGAACCTTGGTGCTTGTGGATACATTCTGAGTGTCTCATTAATAACTTGATTCAAATAATTCATAGACGATAAATCATCGTATTCAATTACTTCCTGAAAAAACTTAATTTCTAAAAAAGAAGCCATTTAATTATTATTTGATTCTTTGCCAATGGTGAAATTTATTTCCATGACACTATTAAAAATTTCATGTTTTGCATCTATTCTGGAACAAATTCTCTTGCAACCTTTCCGCCAATTATATTTACAATTTCCTTATAGGCTTGGAGCTGAATTGCAGGATGCATCGCTAAATTGTAGAGGCAGTAAAGTAAAGTTGAAGACGTCGGATCAAAAGCTGCTATAATAAAAACGAATAGTTGTGAAATTATTAGCCCTTCCAGTTCTTCCTGCAATTATTTTTTTAATAAGATTAATTTTTGTCATTTTTCAGAGATAAATTGAGTAGAATGCGGTGAGGGAATTTATTTATTTCTGGTAGCTGCCTTCAGTTTTTTCTTTTCCAATTCACTTTTGTCGAACATTTCATCGATATTTGCCACTTTTTTGTCAAAGCAATCCAGTATACTTGCCAACATGTCATATTTTCCCTTAAATTAATCTTTTTATTCTCTCCTAACTCTGCTGTTAATAATTCTAATGAATCCAATTTTGCGTGAAGACGATAAAACCAGTGAAGAAATTGAACTCCAAGAGTGGATGCAGGGTTGGGTTCTTCGTTTCCCCTTGTTTAAGCCGCTAGAATTAATAAATTCCGCTTTCAACTTGTGATTTTCTCTGCAAAATGAGAATGTATTATAAGTATTTTCTCACATACGATGGTTCTGCACGCTTGGTCTCGATTGCCTTTTCTATGATATTTTTGAAGAACTCGTTGCACTCACCATCGAAGAACTCATATCCGCTTATATTCTCAATAATCCGCGCTAAATTTGGAAACATAGCTGAAAACTGAAAACATCAATTACTCTAAATTATAACCAAATCACAATCAACACCACAGCACCGCGATACAAATACTGAACACTTAACAATAGTTTACTTATAAATATAAAGCGATAATCTTGGAAAGTAAATGATAATACGCGTTTGGCATATTTTATGAAATCAGAGTTTTCACTGAACTGAGCGTTAATATCGATGCCAAAAAAGCATTTCGCCGTAATATCCATCATTAAATTACCAAGAATTCTACAAAAAAATTACTTAACTCTTACACGTTTTTTAAAAGAACACTAACATTTTTATGAAGCGAAATCTGGATCGCCATTCAAGAAAAGCCATTCCAGAAAAAAATTCGAATGTTTTTTCATAAAATCGTTGGCCGTTAAAAAATAATTACTTAACGAGAAACAAACTTTTTCGCATCAAATTCGCCATTTGATTCCTTGATAATTAGATGAAGCATTCTTTCGGTGTCATTCAAACATCCGTTCATGATCGGAAGAGCCTTAAATAAGCGACGCTAAGTGACATCCGCATCACTGGGATTTTTTTAGTGCGAAATTAGAAAGTGGACTATTAGAACGAATATCTCTGGTATCTCGACATCCTATTATGTCACAATTAATTTAAACTAATAGCGATATTAAAATAGAGGCTGAAATCAGGCCAATGGGAAGGATCGAAATCAAATCGCGATCAGTTCTGAAATTTCGAAAAGCCATCGAAAAATGAATAATCAGTTCAACTCAATATGCAAGCAAAACATATTATAACGGACAATTTTTTTCGAGGTACTAAATTGTACATACATTTTTTAATTTGGCAGTTGAAAATGTCGGCGATATAGAACGCCGAATTTCACGCCAAATATCATCTCGCAGTACGAACATCAACTTACTTCGTAGACTTCGTTTGTTATTGCCAACAACATTGTTTATAATCTTAATATATAAGGAAAAATAACCGAATGAGAAATTTATAAATAGAAGTTATTTATTATTTTTCATCATTAATTCGCGAACCTATCCTATTTCCTCAGTAAACATTCTGTTCTTGGTTGGCTCACTATTTAGCGGATAGGTCCAAAGCAATCACCGGGATTTCTGCTCGTTTCAAAGAAATTGAAGCTATATTGCAAAATGCAATTCAGCCACTGCATCCACCCCACTCCTCTTCTCTCTCAACAAAACTAAGCTATTTCATTTGGCGTAGCAATTATTTTTTGACTTAAAATTTTGGAGAATGAAATATATATTTGGTTAATGTTACTTCTCTCATAAATGATGCTATAATTGCAGAAAAATTACAGAATATGCATGTGCACCTATCAATTTTATATTTACCTTTTTATTTCCAATATACATTTTTAAAAAAAGTGGTCATAAAGACAGAAAAAAAGAATAATTTTTTCTTTAAGATCGAGTGGGATTCTCGAATTTCGATATTATTTATGGTACATTAATTTAGTTCAGAAGAAAAAAAAATTCTAACAGCACGGTTGACAAAACAGTCGAAACGTTTAACGAGAATTTCTTTCAAAATGTTCAAGTCCGATATAACAATTGCTGGTTTTCCCAAGAACACAGTACTGCAAAATACGAATAATCATTAGCTTAGTTACTTAGTCAGTTTTAGAGCTCGTGCATCTCCCCACATATCAGCTCTGGTTGTTGCAACTCTGATTTTTTGATAATTGAATATCAACAGAGAAGATCAACAACCATTGTTTTCAAGCAAAATTATGTAGATAATTCCGACAATAATTATATTTATTTATCAATTATCAATTTTTCTTTTCTAATTCTTTTCTTGGCTTTTAGGAGAAAACAAAGAGGATGGGTACTAGGGCGTGTTGGTGCCATGCAACGAAGAAATCATAATCAGTTACTGTAAATGGTTGCTTTTTTCATGGAATAAAAGTCCAAATTATTTTCAATAAACGAAACATACGAAAAGACAGATCCATATTTCTTTGTATTTTCGATATCATACGGTTTAATGCCATTTTTAAGTTGAAAATAACTACCAAAAAATAAATTCGGTTTTGGTCCACGAATTCCTCGATTTCGCCAAAAATTATTTTCGTAGTTCAGTTTACTGAAAACGTTATATAATCAAAAGTCATTCAGTGGTTTTCAAAAATAAAATTTTAATAAATGAAGCCTTCAAACTCCGATTGCCTAACTTGTCATTTGTCTTGTTTCTTGATTACCTTTTCTTAATTTAGTGCGTCCAAACAACAGCTAGAGGATAATGAAAAATTTCAGTATTTTTGGGAAGAAAGTGATCCAAAAGTGAAAGATGGGAACTTCAATCAGATCTACTTTAATGATACTTCGATGCGAGGATTTTTTGTAATAATATTTAATGTTTACCTTATCAATTTTATTAATAAAATACTTATAATAATCGCCGCTGAAGCATAAGATATATAAAGGATTGCAAAACCAGTTATTACACTTGCTATTAATATTTTTTCACCATTTCCAATCCTCATTTCTGATAAGGAAGTCATTTTCATTCCCTAAAAAAAGGATGAAAATGGTTGAGAAACTTGAAACGCAACACATTTTTTAAAAGCAGCCGCATTCACTAAATAAGAAATTAAATAAATAAGTATTTCTGCGAAAATATTCTTCTACTTCCATTTTTATCATTTTTAATCATTAATCATTAAATAACTGTGATGATAAGAAATGATTTGATCAGTGACTTTCGGCCAATAAGGCCAATTTTCTTTGTTATCATTTTCACTTTGTTATCTTTAAATCATTCGTAACAGTTGACAGAACAGAGTTACAATTGCAATTGAAAACCAATCGACATTTTTCTTACATCGCTCATCGTTTTCTGTAATGGTTGTTGAGGATTATTGAAGCCGCTGAAATGGTTCATATTGATTGCGTGGAACTTATTAGCTGAAAAAAGCGACCATAGCACCACACTGTTGTCAAAATTCAGAATGTGTTTATGTTTAAATTTATAAGAAAACTATAAAACTTGGAAGAAATTCAATATTTTCCTTTTTCTTTTATCATTTCGGTGACTCCTAAAGGACATTTTATTTAACAAAAATGTTTTACAATTTTTGCAATGCAATTTTTCTGCAGAATGTTTATTAGAATCAAATTTGCATTAAAAATTAAAATATAAAACTTAAAGTGCACATGATAATTTACAGTGCACATGATAAATGGTCTAACGAAGAGGACTGAAAACTTCGGAATTCTTTATAAATAAACGTAGCCCAAAGAACTTTTGCCATCAAACTGCCATCGATAAATGAAACTGCCGGTTCAAGCTGGCGAACACTATAATCTTCATCATTTCCTGAAACAAAACCCGAGCAATAATCAGTTAACTGGAAACGGTGAAGTTTTATTTCGAATTGCTCTGATTCTTCAAACAATTCGCGCAATTATTGGCCAGGCTCCAAAGCCTTCGATGACGAGAGACGCCAAATTTCTCGAGCAGATGCTGTGCCTGATTGTTAACAACAAGAGTCGCCTTTCGACCATACAGATTCATTGTCGCTGGGCCACATATGACCTCTCCTATTCTCTCGTGCCCATATCAATTTAAGTTGCCACTTTTTCACCTTTAGCTTCATCCAAGATTTCAGCAAGTGGGAAGAAATATTGTTGTTTTATTTTATTTCAATTTACTTCCATTTAAAGAAAGATTTATTTCATATTTATAAATCAATGTAAGAAACAAATGGCACTATTATTTGAAAATATCCAAATAAATCACGAAAAATTCTTCGACAAAACCTGAGCAATAATTAGTTAACTGACGCCATTACAAATGAACATTTATGGAAAATCTTACCAGGAAATTGAACACGTAAAATAAAAATAAAATAAAAGCGAGCGAAACTCATTAAACAATAAAGACGCATAAATAAATAAAGATATTGAGAATATTAGATTTATTAAAAATATATCGAAGAATTTGAATTTTTTTCACAAATGCGATCGCTTCACTATTTTTTAAAATTTGAAATTTTTGAAATAAATTTTGGTTTTCAATCTTTGATAAAACATAATTACACATTCGACTGAAATATAGAATGCTTTAAAATATAATATAGAATGCTTAAATCGTGCATATTAATTCAAACAGAAAATGAAAAAAATAGAATAAAAATAGAAATTACAATAAAAAATTGAGGAAAACAAATAAATAAGAAAAATAATCGATAATAACAAAATAAACAAACCAAATAAAGACGAAAAAAATGCAAATTTCAGAAAAGATCACTGAAAAGAAAAATGTGAATTGGATGAAACAGGTGGTAATGAGAAGACGTGCATTGAGAAGTCATGTAATTCTGTTGAACAGAGGATATTATGAATAGGAGAATCAAAACCGTTTCGAAATAAACTATGAAAGCTATCTGATAATAACGGTAGCATAAGCGCCAAAGCAAGAATATCGTTTTTAGCGTTTCGCTCAACAAACTAAAATATTGAAATATTAAGAAAAAAAAGGAATAAGTCACAAAATCACAAAATATTTTCGTTGAAAATCATTTACTGTTATAAATTTTTGATTGAAGAAAAGTGAAAAAACAAATTTAAATTTTGAAATTTAAATTTTATTTTGAAAATATAAATAAAATATGTCCTAAAAACTACAAAAAAGGTTCACCAGCAGCCCTGCAAAATTAATTTGTCAAAAAGGTTAGAAAAAAATATTGAAATATTGAAATGTTCTATGTTAGAAATGAAATGAATTATTCTAATAATCAGCCATGAAAAATTTTTCGAATCTCAGCAATTGTATTTCTATTCTATTGCTACTTTTTTTACGTTTTTTTCAAAATATTTCGGAATATTTTTAGAATATCTATAAACAAAGAGCTAAGTTTTTTTTCCAAATTTAAAAAACAATTGGAATTATATATATATATACGTATATAAAATTTATAATAATATAGCATTAGATCTGTCTTTGACAAGAGAAAACTTGTCATGTCAAAAATCCGGATGGCTGCTGAGGACTCACCTGTAAATCTATCCCCAAGTGATTCTAAGGTGAAAGGGTCAGATATTTTTGATACGGCGTCTGCGTCTTCCGACGCGCATGATACTCCTAACCCGGTGGTACATGTGATAAGTATATAATCCGAACGTAAAGCGATCCCAAGGCTGATAAATAAAATATGGTCGAACCAGGGTAATTACTCGAAACTTATCAAAAGGAATAGTTCTCTGCATGCGCGGCGAGGTATTAGCCATGTCAGCATGGAAGGTTATGAACGTTGGAAATCAAGCTATCACTGTCCACGCCCTTTTTAAATATCGAGTGGATATCACCTACTTGTCGGATATTTTCCTCATTTAGGATCCTGAGTAATTACTAATCCTGGCAGAGATACTGGCTACATCACTATTTGCTTCGGATAACTAGGAGCGAAATGGCGTAGCGATTCTGATAAAGCCATTCCGCCTTGATTGAATGGAATTCGGTAAGCGACCGTATGGCCTATACCTGATTTAAAAGTAAGTTCTGCAATATCTCGTTCACCAGTGTTTGCTCCAACCTTGTTATCAGATTGTTATCAAAGAAAAGCGGAAGCGGAACCAACTGTTAAAAAAATTCGACTAAAATATGACATGGCATAATCGGGGAAGATAGGAATGCACACGTAATAATACCACTGCGATGATGTCGACAATTAGCAAATATAACATCGGGATCTGATGCAGAGGAACGCCTTTTTAGTTTATACTCAAGAGAATGAACTTTTTACTACTAATACTTGATTCTGGCACTGTAGAAAACATAAAATATCTAGTTCAACTTCATCCCAAACTAAAAAATTTGGGGAAGGACATTTCAAACATTATTATTAAAACATCTCAATGGTATAAATAGTATCAATGATTTTTCTGGAACGGCAAATGAATACTGGCCCAACTAAAGGAACGTCTCTTCCACGCTAGGGCATATTTATCGCAAGCAACTGCCCAACTGTCTGAAAAAGCTGCCAAAATACTAATGTCAGGAGATCTTGACTACCAGATACTTCGAAGAATTACAACGACAGCAGAAGGGCGGGATAGAAATCACTGTTGAAGCGACATAGCCTTGAGAATGTAGACAGCAGCTCGATTAGGCGATAATAGGAAACTTTCCGTCTTCTTCATAAAGCAACTATAACGCGGGGAACGATCAGTGAAATGATAAGGGTGCAGGAATGGCGTGGCTGTTAAGAGATAAAGGACTGCCTGACAAGATGGGAGAAATTCCTTGAGGCGAAACGTAATCATGATGCACCATCTCTAGTCCCCGATATAGCTGATACGTTCGTCGAACCATATGATTGATGAAGGAGTATTATGAAGGACGATGGAGAACATTTGAAGAGTTCAGCCCGGAGACCATCTTCTCTCAAAATCTTATTGATCCTAAGCTTATGCATAACGGAAATTATTCTTCTTCTGTTAGCAGCTTGAAAACCTTTTCATTTTATATACAAAAAATTGATAAAATGCCTCTTTTAATAAATTCATTGTCAATTGAGGAAATGCTCGATTTTAAATACCTTATAATACCGAGACATAAGACGATATTACAATGCGGATTACGGCAGCGAGAAATACGTTGTTCCGGTTAATGCAACATTTTGATCAATGCAATTATGGAAACATCGCGAAATCATCATAAAAAAGAAAAGCCACGTCTATATCGCCGAGATTAACTCAATCTTGCTATATAACTGCGAGACATGGCCAATGACAGTAGAGAAAATTAAGAAGCCATCTGCCCTTAACCACTCATGTCAAAGGCATATTCGCCGAGTGGATAAAATCTCACATGATCACATCCACCTTCGCTCAAGTACCATTTGCATTAGCATCGAGCGTAGCCTTCGCTGGTTAGGATGTTTTTTGTCTCCCACTACAGGATTGATACATATTACTTCCTAAACCTTGTGATGGGTGGCGTCAAAAACGAGGTGGGCTAATCAAGACCTGGACTGATATGGTCAGGAAAGATTTTAAAAGCTTTTAGACGTATAGATGGACCCACGATAAAAAAAGGAATAGTTTCCATCACGCCGTTTGGAAACGTTTTACCTTTGTAATTATTGGAGCCAACCTAATCAGTAATGGTGTTAGAAGAAAAACAACCAGCCATATTTAAATGAACATATAACGAAAAAAATTTTAAAAAGCAGGATACTTACGAAGTAGTCATTAAACAAAATAAAAAATTAACTAAATAATTAACCGATATTGCAGAACTGTGAAATATATCGACAAAAGATGAAGTAACTTCTCTGCATTTTGAAGACTCCATCATTTCAACAAGTCGTCCTAATAAAGCTCCTAATTGCCTCGAATTTGGTAATGCAAAAGCATTCTGCAACATACTGGAATCTGCTATAGAGTGGAAAGCAAAAAATTTAAAAATTTTATAAATGACTGATGAATGAAAATGGAAAATTTTACGAAAATAAAATCTGGAATTGCTTCAGAAAAATTCAATGTAATTTCCAATTCAGAAATTCGAAATCCAATTAATCTTAAAAAATGGAAAGAACCTGATCAGCAAATTTTGGTACAATAAGATACGAAAACTGCCGACAATCAATCGACTGGATTCTTTGCTTAATCAACAATAATAAATCGCTCAATCCGACTGGATCAAATTCTTTTTTCAAGTCTATCTTCGACAATTCTTTTTCACATATTGATTCAACGTAATCCATCAACTGATCTATCCCTGAATTTGAAACATAAATTAATATCGTAAACTCAAGCTTTAAAAGAAGAATAAATTCTAGAATACTTAAATATATTTCGATTAAGCAATAATAAAGCCAGAAAATAATTCACATAATTCATATCGATTTACCATGGTTTGTGAAATATTGTATACAATGGATAAAAATTTGCTGAGAATTTGCATCAATTTCTCCACATGTAATGGACGAAGATGATTCATTTAAGCCCAAATATTCCATGCAACCAGAAATACTTGCAAAAATGGAAGTAAAATGTAGATAATTAATTTAAAGTTTGTCTTAGTTATTCTTATAAATTTTTGAAGAAAAAATGACCTATGAAACTAATTAGCAATAAAACCCAAATTTTTTTAAAAATTAACGACTTAATGATAACAAAAATAGTTTAATGAATGACCAAATTTGCTATTTTTTATTAATACTAGAACGAAAAAAATGATTTAATTAAACAAGAACTAACAAGGGAACCGCTTTGTTTTTTGCGCACAGCTTCGAACAGCTTTGTGCAGCCAATATCGACATTTGAGATTTTATAGCAACAGTTAAAAGCGAAAGTGAGTAGGAAGCAGCGATAATACGAGCAAACGTCTCAACCTGAATGTTTTAATGGAAAATAATTAAGAAGAATCGAAAATGAATGAAAATTTTCAAAAAAAAGTTAAATAAAACTTTGGTGGAAAAAAACGGCTTAAACCTTAATTTTCTGCCAAATATCGATACGCTCATTAAAGGAGAACTCATTGCTATCATCCTTCAGCATTCTAGCCAATTTGTTGACATCGAAGCGACTTTCAATTTTTTTCTCTATATAAGAAATTAGATCAAAAACTGAAGCATCACATGCACGCTGATGAGAATCATAAATATATTGTCTCTTGGCCTAAAAAATTTCGAGGTCGCAAGAAAATTTAAATTCTTTTATGCTAATAAAGATTATCGAGAATTTTAATATTTTTAATAAATTACGCAACTTTAACAAAAAATAAACTCACTCGTATGGAACTTGGTTCCATTATCTGCATTCCGTATGTATTAAATGATTTCGATAAAATTTGCCCAACAGCAAATGCACCACCAGCGACAACAGCACCCATCAATAATTTACCACGATGCCTCTTCAGAAATTCCCATATCGTGGACATCCTGAGTATTTTCGATGCATTCACAATATACATACCCACCAATTTAATGTAGCAGAGGTACAAAAGAAAAAACAACTCCCTCAGCATTAACCTGCGATGAACTCACTCGCACACTATCCTCGAAACGAAATTTTAGTGTCCTCTAATATTATCAACACAGATTTCTCGGAGATGATATTAAAAAAAAAGAGAATTGTTTTTGATTCAAATATAACCACAGTTTGGCCGAATGTAAATAACCTGTCACATAATAAAAAACTTAGTTATAATAAGTTTATTAACTTTATTTATCAACGAAATCAAATGAAATGAATTTAATAATTCATATTATTAATTAAACAAAAAAATAAAACACCATTCAAACACCAAAAAAATACAATAATGAATACATTCACTAATCCCAAGTTATTACATGTTTAGCTTTAACCGAGCTGGAATTTTTCGACTGTACCTCTTGATGTTCTTCATACCTGATTATCTCAAAAAGTTGGGATCTTGATTCGATTTCTGGATTTTTTAATTTTTGTTTTAAGATTTCTCTGAAATTGAATAGTTCATAGTAAAAGTATTTATAAGTATTTAAAAGCATAAACTTTTTTATGAGCACAAAATAGAAAAATCAGCAGTAAAACTTCATTTATTTTCAATTTGAATTGACTGAATTTATTGTAAACTTTCTTTCAATTTGAATTCTTGAAAGATTGATTTTATATGAATTAAAAATAAAATGACGCATAAAAACTGGAAATTTTCATTTATTTATTTCATCTTTTCATTCATTCGAGATTTATCATCGTTTCCCTTGCAGAACTAGTCTTTTATTAACCCAGATCCGACAGATCCAATCTAGCTGTACTTCTTTTCCTCGATTAACTCCCTGGGAAGCATAATCAAAGATGGCAAGAGTCAACTTTTTACTCTTTATTATTTGAACAATAATTGATTTTTTAAAAATTTACCCAATTTTTAACACAGATTCATCATTCTCTGCATTGGTTGTCCATATACTAATCTAAATCCGAAGAATTAAAGAAAAATTATCTAAATGAACATTATGACGAAATACGCGAGAAAATAAGAAAAATTCAACCAAAAAACCAAAAAAATTTTTCTAAAAATTAGATAAACCTTGGATCCTTTATTTCTTATATTACAAACGACACCACATATATCTTCCATATATTCACCAAATTGTTCGCCGATAATCATTAATACCACTTCCAACCATATTGTATCCAGCAGTTCAATAGGCTTTGATTTATCTATCTGAAATTCAGAAGTAAATTCAAACTGATTTAAAAAAACATCATGAGATTATTATGCCTTTTAAACAATTATGCCTTTCCTACACCACGAAAATCTCAACCTCAATTCAGTAATTAGATTTATCTTTTCAAAAGATTTAAGCAGAAATATTTTCATCATTTATCTCTAAACTGTCGTAAGACATCAAACTTATCGGAAAGACACTCAGATGAGGCTAAATATTAAACATACTAATCACCTTAGCTACCACAAACAATCCTTTTAGATGTAATGCATCAAACAAGAATATATGAGAAACCGACTGCTATAAGCCATCGCCCTCCTCCGGAGTTTTCTGGTACTTCCCACATAGGCTGTATATTCTCCTTAAATAAATTGTAGTCACAAGATGAATTCAACAATGATGGTGGTCTGATATTCATATAAAGTCTGCAAAAAATAAAAATAAAATAGGAAAAATTATGAATCTTTTTTTAGCATATCGTTTTGATTTCTAGATTAGAATTTCAAAGATTTCAAATTCTTCGGCAATGATAATCAATTTAAATAAATAAATTTATAATAAATTTTTTTCATTTAGCTGCATGAACATTTCTGTAGACTAATATAATGCTCTTTATAGCATATAAATGATGGAGATACAGGTGATCCTCAGTGGTGACCTTAACTCTTATTGCTGCTAAGAAATAGGAATCGAATATATGCTGTTTATCCACGAAACAACATACGATTTAATCACGTGTTTCTATCAGATAATTTTTAAAAAATTTAAAGAAAACTAGTAGAGAAAAGAGAAAATCGCAGCCAATATAAAATCTTAGTTTATCACCAGTTTTCTCCTCCATATTCAATATTATGAACGGAAAAAATTGTTGTATACCCCCAAAATTCTTCTACTGTTCCGAAAGTAGCAACTGCTTTCAACCGACTTTCCCAATTCCAGTCTCGCTGATCATTTAAAAACCAATAGGTCCATCGTCGCTTTAGTGGATGCTGCATTTTAGTGATTGGCTGCAAGTTCAATAATATTAATTAAAAGTATGATGGTATTTCGATGAAATAGTGTGTAAATGAGAAATTAAACAATGGCCTAGTGCGTAGATTTCTTCCGAGCGTTGATTTTGTGGGATACTTATTTTTATTCCCGTGTTGTGAGTGAACCAATTGCATTTCTTCCAGCTTAATAAACCGAACCAGAAATGGTCAGCGCTTTTTACTTTTTCAAAATAAAGATGAAAGGCGATTACAATACTAAAAACACAATATGCAATCAAATAATTCCATAAATTATTGTGGATTATTTATTCGTAAGCTGGGGTATGGCAATGGGAAAAATTAGAGACAAAGGCAAAGAAAAAGAAGAAAGAAAAAAGTGAAAGGAAAAAAAAAACAAGCACATAACTCTTACTGACATCCACAAAATCAAAAAGTGCTAAAACTTCAATACGGCTCAGTGAAATTTGAAAAAAAAAAGAGAAAATCAGTCAATTTTCCATAAAGCACAGTGCGGTGGTTTAATTGTATGGATTCATGGTGCGTTGTGATTTCGAGACAAGATTGTCACGAGAATAGAGAAGGGCTTAGGTTTGAATTTCGTCGAATGGCGAATGAGGTAGAATGAATTAGTTATTGCTCAATTCGGAGTTTGGATGATGTTTCCACGTCCAGCAAGAACAAATTTGTTTTTCAAAAATATAGGCGATGTTGGCGACTCACCTAAATTTCTATCGCGGAGTGAAGCGAATCAGCAATGGCAAGCGCACCCAGAAAAAGAAAAACCTTCAAAAATTAAGCTCACCTGATTGTTTTCGTCTTCATTAATACCACTAGTATCTTTCACAGCAGTATCACTTTTATCATCCGTAGTTTCAACCATTATTCAAGATTATTCGATATTCGATATTATTCAATGGAACCTACTGCTCCCGAGAATTGATTCAAAAACAAAAATAGCAAAACTGAAATCAACAAAATTTATTCAACAAAAAATTTATTTAAAATTTAATTTACCAGTAGTTCATCCATGGATTCAAATGTTTGTTTTAAGCTATTTCCACATTCGCCAAATCTACACAAACAGAACAAATTATGATTTATGAAAGAAAAGATGACTTTAAATGACAATAAAAATCAGTTCATTTACTCGATTCAAATGAAATCGATTTAAAAATGGTGATTAAAAAAAATTAAAAAGAATTTTACGATACACTACGATTCCGATTTTAAATATATAAAGATTAAAAATAAAGAATGAACGAAGAAAACAGTCGCTAAAGACAGCCAAAATAAAATAAATTTTAAATAAAAAAAATAATGAAAATAATGAAAATGAAAAAAGAAAATGAAAATTTCCCATCTCGCTATTTCAAAAAATTATGAATAGAAAAAAATATGAAAATAAAAAAATAAATAAAAAGTGAAAAATGCGAAAATTTGTGAAAAGTACTTTTAGAAGATGACAGTTAAATACGGGGTCAAAAAGTGAAGAAGGATAAAAAGGATTTATCCATTTTGAAAATCTTTTTAATGATCAAGGATATTGAGCAGTCGTTTCTTTTATTTGCTTTAACCTAATCGATTATTCCTAATATTGTAAAATATTTCTTTTCCGGAACTTCTAAATAAGTTAGGTTTTTTTCTCCTTTTTTTCTTTTTTTTCCTAAATTCAAATAGAGAATTAAAAAAAATTTATACACATATATATAAAACTGATGATATTACAAAAAATAAATAATTTCATAAAATTATGTTTTTAGCAGGAGTAAACTGCCTTGCCAAAAATCCGGGTGGCTGCTGGAGATCCACCTGTACATACCTTTATTCCCAAGTGACTCCGTGATGAAGGGATCGAATATTTTTGATAGGGCATCCGCGTCCTCCAACGCACATGATATCCCCACCCCGGTGGTTCATGCGATAAGTATATAATCCGGGCTTAACACGATCTCAAAGATAATTAAAATGTACTCGCAAGCCAGGGTAATTGCTCGAAATTTATCAGGGGAACATCCTATACACGCGGCGAGATATTAGCCGTATCAGCTCGGAAAGTTAGAATATTTATGGACGTTGCAAGTTAAGCGAGCACTGCCCACATCCTTTCTAAATATAGTATGGATATCGCTTGCTTGTCGGAGGTCCGTCTCCCTCATTTTGGGTCTCAAATGATTACTAATCCTGGTTTGCAGCAGAGGTACTGGCTATATCACTGTGAGCTTCGGATAACTCGGGACGAAATGGCGTAGCGGTTGTCATGACTGACAAAGCCCATTCCGCTCTGAATGAGTGGAAACCAGTAAGCGACCGTATGGCCTATACCTGTTTTAAAAGTAAGTTTTGCAATAATATCAGTCATCAGTGTTTACCAGTGTTTATGCTCCAACTCTGTCGGCAGATAACCGTGATAAAGATAAGCCCTAAGCGGAACTTCAACAAAGTCTCTACCGAAACATGACATGATCATAATCGGGGGAGACTGGAATGCTCGCGTAGGTCATAATGCCGCTGCGATGACCTCCACAATTGGCAAATATGGCATCGAAGATCGGTGTGTCAATGGAGAACGCCTTCTTCGTTATGCCGAAAAGCATAACTTTTTATTACTAATATTTGCTTACGGCATCGTAAAAAACATAAAAAAACAAGTCATGCGGAACTCCCCCGGATAACACTTCAACCAGATTGATTATATCCTAGTCAGTGGCCAGAAGAGTTCTGTACTTAGTCGAGGTCATTTACCACGGCGCTGAAACGGGCAATTTTCATGGACCACGTTATGGCAAGAGCCAAGCCCCGCATAAAATTGACAACTCGCAGGAAATAGTATCCCCCAAGATCCTTAAACCATCTCAAACTAAAAAATTCGAGAACATTGAACATTTAAAACCGAATTGTTGAAGCATCTTAATGATACAAATATCAATGACTTTTCTGGAACGGCACATGAATACTGATCGAAACTAAAGGAATGTCTCCGAAAATCAGCCACTTCCACGGCATACTAGTAGGAAGTGTGCTAGTTGGGTATCGGAAGCTACCGTCCAATTGTCTAAAAAAGCTGCCAAAGCACGAATGTCAGGTCCTGTCTACCGGAGTGCTTCAAAGATTTGCAACGAAAGCAGCAAGGCGGAACGAAATCACTATTGGAGTGACACAGTCTCAAAAATGGAGACGGTTAGGTAATAATAGGAAAATAATAGGAAACTTTCATAAAACTATGACTTGGGGAACGATCAGTGAAATGGTAAAGGATAGCAGTGGAGTGCCGATCAAGAATATTAAAGCCTGCCTCATAAGGTGAAAAAATTCTTTGATGCCAAACTTAACCAAGGAGCGCATCTGTTGCTCCTGATGTTATGTTCGCTGAACCATATGCTTGCCCCGAAAGAAGAAGAAATAATGTCTATTATCCATAAGCTTAAGGCCAATAAGACTACGAGGGAAGATGGTCTTCGGGCTGAATTCTTTAAATACTGTCCATCGTCGTTCATAATGCACTTTCAATAAATTCACTACTCTGGTGTAAAAAAGAAATCTTACCAGATGATTGGAGCAATTCTGCTTCCAATTTTCAAGAAAAGTGATAGGACATATGCGACAGTTATCGAGGAATCAGCCTATTAGCCATCTCAGCAAATTTCAATTTTGAAAATTTTTGCTTCCCTTTTACTCAACAGACTTATGGGAGAACGAAACAGCAGGATGTGCCTGAATTCAACAGGAGTGGAGCTGACTAAATACTCATATAAAGAAAGGTGATGGAACATCGCTTCAGATATTTGCAACCCATTGTCACGTGACAACTTCGACCTCGACTTCGACTTTTCATCGAATTTGCAGCTGCCTTTGATTCAATTGATAGAGAGGCACTTTAGAGAGTGATGGAATGCGATGGTGCTCCGGAGATCAATCGACTCATAAAGGCATTTTATAAGGGTACGTCGGCGCAAGTCTGTGTATATGTGGAAGTGACTTCTTCGAAATGAATGTTCGTTAAGGTTGTGTCCTTTCTCCTACAATATTCAACTATGCGATAGACTGGGTAATGGACAACATTTATCGGCATTCAAGAGGTGTCCAAATCCAGATCCAGAGTCCAGACCATCGTATCACAAATCTTGAACGCTTATGATGTGGTCCTTTTTGCTGACAGTTACGACGAAATGCAAGTAAAGTAATGCTAAATAACATGTCAGAAACAGTAGTAAGAATCGGACTCAGAATCAATGTAAACAAAACCAGTCTTTTCGCCTTATGTGTAAGAAGCTGATAAAATGCCTCTTTTTATAAATTCATTACCGGTTGAGTCCGATTTTAAATATCTTGGATCCACTCTTATACCAAATGGCCAAGCGAAAGACGATATTATAGCACGGATCACGGCAGCTAGACATGTGTTCTTTCGGCTCATGAAACTTTTATGGAGCCGTCATGAAATTACCATTAAAACGAAAATACGTATTTGCGATTCGTTCTATCTTACTAATATGGCTCTGAGACACGGCCAATGAGAGTGGAGGATATTAAGAAACTATCTATCTGACCACTCTTCTCTAAGGTACCTCCTACGAGCCTGTCGAGCGGATAAAATATCACATGATAGTATCCATCTTCAAATACCACTTGCATTGATAGTGTTATTACAGAGTGTCGCATTCGATGCTTAGGGCACGTTTTCCATCGTCCACCGCAAGAGCTATCGCATATTTCGTTACTTGCTAAACCCTGTGATGGGTGGCGTCAAAAACGAAGTCGGCCAACCAAGACCTGGACTGATACGATCAGAAAAGATTTTGAACGTACAGAGATGAACCAGCAATATATGGACTTAGACGATGGAAAAAAAAATGACTTCTATTACCCTCGACGATAGCATCTGACTGCGCCACTTGGAAGTATCTTACCTTTGTAGCCGTTGGAGCCAATTTAACCAGTGTGAGCCGCTAGAAGAAGATTTCGAAAATTATAAAAAATTATTAATTAAATAAAATGTTATTAGA